ATGGAGCAATTCTTATGGGCTGAAGGTAAATCCATCTAAAACACAAGCTATTATTATAGGCAGCCAAAGATTGGTTCCACGTTAATTGATTGGACTACACTTCCTTGTATAGGTTTTGACGGGGTCCAATTGCAATATAACGATACGGTTAAAAATTTAGGTGTTGTGTTTGATAAATTTCTCTCTTAGGTTCCCCAGGTTAGGGAAGTGAGTAGGAGGATGTTTGCAGCAGTTAATTCTCTTCGTAGATTGAGTTACTACTTACCCATACGTACCAAAATTGCGCTCGCGGAATCTCTCCTCTTACCAATTCTAGATTATGCTGATACATGTTACTTAGACTTAACAATTGAACAACTTAATAAACTTGAGCGCATTCAAGATCTTTGCATACGGTTCATATTTGGACTTCGTAAATATGACCCCGTTTCTGAATTCCGAAATAAGCTCGAGTGGCTTCCAATCCGCCTTCGCAGGAATACTGACCTTCTATCACTCCTTTATTCTGTTCTATTCAATCCAACCACCCCTCCTTATCTTAAGAAGCGATTTGAATATCTCTGTGATTCTCACCCAGATCGATCTTTCCGCTCCGATGATAATTTAATCCTCAGAAATCCTCCCCATAGTACATCTTTCTACTCCAAGTCCTTTTCTGTGGAAGCTGTTCGGCTCTGGCACAATCGCTACATATTTTCAAGCGACTTTAGAGAAAACACTTTATGCCTCCTTAATCATTGTGTTCCATTCCTCGATGTTGTCAACTTCTATCTAAATATTTTTACATTATTTTTAACGTATTATATATGATGTTTGCATATGTATTTATGTATAATTTATTATTATGTATTTATATTTTGACTTATTAGTTTCTGTTATCAATTCTGTGTACACTGTTACCCGATTCTACTGTTTTTACTATCTCCTTTTACTAGGTTGTCTGGAAGAAATTGTTTTTTAGCGATAAGGCCGCTTACTGTACAGTTTTGTATTATTTTTTGTTGATTATTCAATATTCGTTGTTTGTGTACAATAAAGTATATTTCATTCATTCATTCATTCATCACCGGTGAAGTGTTCAAAACACTGTCAGCACACGTTCACACGTTTCGTAATTAAAGCAATAAGAATAACGAGAACGGCAAGTCATTGTCACTTTAGCGTAAGTTGGAACATGTATGAATTTGAATTGTATGAACAATCAACAAATCGCATCTTATTCAGGAAACCAATCACGGCTGTCTTGACAATTGACAAAGACAACACATTCTTGAAAGTGAAACTGAAGGTGCAAGCCGAAGTAACGATAGATAGTGCGCGTTTTCATAAAGTAACTTTTTTTATTTGGAAAATAATAAATCGGGTAAAGGACCTACCATATATCTAATATACCACACCTTCGAAGAAATTCTATTTATTTATTTATTTTTCTTATTCTAAAGTTAGCTAGACATTTTCATACGTTTGCGGGAGAACTGACAACTGTATTCACGATATTTATTTCGTGATATTTAAATAACCTTTATTTAACTACATAATGCGTTATAATAAGACTTTCAATGTATAAGCGAAAGATAAATTTTTTGAAAAGATGTTTATCTTGTTACGCTAAAGAAGTATAACTTCTAAAGCGTGTACATAAGTACACACACACACACACTTTTTGTCTCTCCTTATTTTGATGAGTGGAATGGAGACGAATTGTTACGAAATTATCAATTATAGTTTTAATTAAATTTAAACGATGATTAAAAGAGAGTACCATTGAATGTTCAAAAACTGAGCCAAATACAATGACATTTTATACTATAAATATGTTATTAACGCACCCTAAGTGAAGCCAGGAAAACGTCCCAATTGGTACGTTTCGTCTTTGTTTTACGTTAGGCAAAGCGGCGAGGAGAGTCGGTGTCAAAATTTTACAATAATAAAATTGCCTTCGTGTGATTTTAAAAGATGTACCGAGTACGCTCTACAAGTCAACAAAATTCAAGGGATCTCATATCACGCACATAATGCCTTCGATGCCATGTCTTCGATTTATTACCATATTTCAATTATTGTCCTAATACTTTAATTTATGTTGGTTAGAAAACAAAGAAAGAGACAATAAATAAGTTGAATACAGTGACGAGGACTGATGCACCTCGAGATTTGTTCACAAGTACGCTAAAGTCACAAACACTTGCAGTCTTCTTTTTATATCATTCGATACGTGTGAATGTGTGCTGTCCAGGAGGAGGAGGACCTCCTCCTCCAGTCGTTAGCTCACTGCTGAGCGTCGTGATATGTCCGACTTAACTTTTGTATAATATCCTACAATTTATTGCGGTCTTTTGCACTTTGACAAGCATCGAAGATTAATTTGCTTGTCCGCTTGGTCAGACCATCCTATCCTTAATACCCTCGGTCATTTATCCTCCATTTTTTCGGAAACTGTAAGCTTTTCTAGATTGTCAGGTTTTCGGTTATGTCGCCGTAGTACTAAGCACTCTACAGACAAAAGGCAAATCTAAGAACATTGAAAGTTTACTTGGCGAACCAAATCTCGGAACAGTATTGAATATTTATTCGATGGTAACGACCAGTCCCAAGGCACAACAATCATATCATTTATTTTGATTTTGTTTGTACCAATATTCCTCGGCTATATTACTTGATAAGTAGGTATTTATTGTCTTGACATTGTATAGAAAAACAGGCTTGGTAAGTATTGCAATTTGCCAGTCTCGTTCCCAGAGGCACATATCATGAAAACGTTGCCTCTTTTGAAGGCATAAAATATACTGCCCACATGCGAGGATCTGATGGTCTGCATTGATCAATATCGCATTCGATTATAGTCAAGAAAGTGAACAAGGCTGTTCTGGCACCTTTTGGACATGACTGTACTAAATACTTGGATGCGATAAAAAGTTAATACGGCGAACAAAAAATCACAGAAGGATATAATGAAATTAGCTAGATTCGGAAAGAACCTTGCTCACACCGTTTGTAACGACATACGGACTTAATCTTCATTTTATTTTATGAGCGACTTTCACCGTTATCAAGTACCAAGTACTAAGAGCCGTCGAGAAGAGATCCCTGAACCATCTAAAAGACCACAGGCGGGTGTATAAGTCCTACTCTCTACTGACGTACGTTACGATCGTGGTGAACATGAAAAAATATTATATCATATTCTAGAAATTAATGTGAATATAAAAATTGTAGAAAACTTACCGCCTGGATTTGTAAAAAAAGTAGTTTCTAATTGAAAAAAAAAATTCCTTAAATACTTTCATTTACCGATTTCGAGGTACAATGAAAAATTAACGAAATTTTCATCTAAAAATGAAGTTATGGGAAAGTGTTGCAAACGGATATACTTATCTATGTATTACGTGAAGGTAAATATTTAGTACTCATTTTAACAATTTTGTGTAAACGGAGGAGTGTTTTGGTATAGTTAATGATTATCTGGAGGAATAGTTTAAAATTATACACATGTTATAAATACATAAAAATTAAAACATGTGGTTCACATTATATAAATACAATAATGTTGTAAATAATGGCAGAGTAAATATTTAAGAATGAAAAATTTTTAAATTAGCAAATATAGTAGCAACTAAAGGTCATACCACATATTTTGTTATAATTCTATATATCCATGGCCCATGAAAAGCTATCTGCCGATGTGTTGCCAATCTTTTCGAAAATTCATCCCTGCTTACCTCACTTACCTGACAAAACACAAAGGTATAATGCATAAACTTCATTCTGATCCCCCACGGTAATTTACGTTGATAAACCTACCTATTCATGAAGCAATAAGAAAACTAAAACTATTGAGTTCCGGTAAACATTGTTCTTTCTCAGTTTAAATAATTCATCACATAGTTACTAACATTTCTTGTTTAAAAAAAATTTTACAAACAAGCAACAATGCAAGCCACTATTTTTAAATGTATTTTAAAAGATAAAATTCAAAGAGAAAAGCCTCTGATCTATCATTCATTATATCAATTGATATAAACAACTAAAACAGCCAAGAAACTACATAATTTTTTCATAAGTTAATCTAAATGTCTTAAGATGCTACACATCTGTAAAGCGTCCTTTTTATTAAAAAGTCCAAATATATGAACTTTAGGTATTAAAGAGAAATGGGGGCCAAACCCAAAGGCATCATTAACTAAAATAATGTCTATCAAACACATGCATTATTTATGAAACATAGTTGCAAAATTATATTATTTAAAGTGAAAAGAAGTGATGACTATGTATATAATATTGAAAAAATAAAGTTTTCTATGTTGGATAAAAAATATATAGTTCCTATTATGCATATCATTGTTTAAAATGCCCTATTAATAAACAATCATACTTTTAAGTTTTTTAACATATTAAACAATAATTATTATCAAAAATACTTAAATATATTTGGTATAATGTAGTTTCTTTAAATATTTCATTATATGTTATATAATTTAACATAATATCACAGGAAATGCACACAACCAATAAAGTTGTACTTTTAAGTCTTTTTAAACACTTGTTTAACTTTCATGAAAAAGTTATCGAAAATATGTTAGTATAAATCACTAAAGGTTGTGGTAATATATCACATTTTCACAGCAGATATCTAATAACTCTTGTAATATGTAAGTTATTATAACTTGTCCATTACAATTTGATTATTGAATGCATCTATTGGGGGAAAAATAATTATTCAAATATAAAACACAGGCACATCATTTTTTCTATTAAACTCAGCAGAGGTTTTCAGTCCTCATCAAACTATATTTCATGACATCACTCAACTATTGTTAAATAAAAATCCCAGTGAAAATTTGCCTAAATAAGAACCGTCCAGAATAAATGAATAAATGTTCCAAACATTTATCAGTTCATCACAACACTTAGATTTACGCTTCAATAAAGTTCACAGTTCGGACACATTCTTTATTAGCATTTATGAAATAATCAATACATCTGTGGATAATGTCGTTTTAGCGTCGATCTCTGTATGATCTATGGGGTTCACGTTCACGACTGCGTCCACGGGAACGATCAGTGGTGCGCCACAAAAATTCATCTACTGACCTTTCATATGACCTCTTATCATACACAAGCACAGATCTAGGATAATCAGCCAAGTCGTAGTATCTTGGTGGTGGAGGCGGTGGTGGCAATCCTTCGTAAGATGCTAATGCACCACTAAACCCTGGTGGTGGAACATATGGTAGTGGAGGTAGCTGATGATGCATTGATCGCATGTATTCTGCAACATAAGCTTCAGCAGCAGCAGAACTGCTACTGCTATAAGAATCACGTCCACGTGCAAACCAAGATGGAAGGCGTTCACGCATGTAAGGAGATGGTGATCTCCTTTTATATGAATTAGATGACAAACGATTTCTTGGTGACATAAAAATCTTTCTTCTATTTCTGGAGGACGAATTTAGACGGTTTCTAAAATTGAAACCCCTTGATACTAGAGGTGCTCTATATGTTCTGTAGCTTCCACCACTTTTCAGATATGCTTTTTTGGATGCCTCTTTAGATTTTCGTAAAATAGGTGTCATCTCAATTCCATCATCTTCAGGAAACAGTCTACATAATTCTTCAGCCACTTTTGGTTCAATTTCTTGTCCATCTCGACCAATTTTCACAGGTTTACCTTCATTCCATGGATTGTATAAATGGAGTGTGCTACTAAACGATAGTTCCTTTCTACATATCCAGTCTACTTTAAACACTCCATCCAGAACTTTTGCAGAGAGACCAGGTGGCAATACCCATGATATGGGGGGTCCATCATGTCGAGACTCACTTCCCAATCTAGCAAACCCTGCAAATTTTCCACTTTCTTTTACTGAAAATATGAGCAGAACATTCCTAGATTCACGATATGCTTGATTCAAATTGGATTCATTTTGGGGTAATGTTGACCAAACACCTTTGGCTTTCGACAGCGTTATATTTTCAGCATTGTTGGATTTAATTAAAAAGAAACGTGTGTCTCTGAATAAATAATTCAATTTCGTCATATAATCATATATCTTTACTTTGTTAGCTGCTGTAACACATCGTCGCTTAGTTTGTACGGGGGAATGACTATCAGACTTAGCTCTTTTACGATTATTACGCCTGTCTTTCGAATTGGAACTTACAGAACTAATACTAGGTGTGCTGGAATCGCTTGAAGACGAACTAGATACTTCGCTGCGTGTGTCATAATCTTTAGCTTCTTCTAACTGTTTAAGCTCCTCTCCTATTTCTGCTTCTACTTCACCAACGCCAAGATTTACGGCGTCTGTGTTATTGGAGACCTCCATTTTTACCACAGTATTTGTTAACAATTACAGAAATTATTTTTTGTTGCAGTTTCAAGCAACATCGGCTTGGCCAACAAAAAAACTCATATTAACAAGAGCTCCAACGGGAACTTTTCTAATGATTTCAGTATTTTACTACAAAATTAAAATAATACAGAATTTTGATCATATAGACATAGATAATAGACATTAGTTTTAGGGATGCTCGATGATCATCGATGTTGAATGCAAAAAAATCGATGTTTTTACATCGATGTTGCTATACGAAAAATATCGTAACATCGATGTTAACGGAATCGATCATCGATGAGGCCGTAAGCTAGGCCTCACGCACGACCAATGCAACTTACGAAACAAATTATTTGTTCTATGAACACATCCACAAAAGGTTTATTAAAGTTCTGAACGTGTATTCATTCATTGCGCACCAGTCGATCCCTTTGTTCGTTCTTCGTAGTCTCGCTCGCTCTTTCTCTCTCACACTTCCATTCATTTGTTGATAAAATTTTATGTTGTGCCCGTGCGCCGCCTGTTTTAATTTACTCATTTGATAGTATTGTACTGTTGTGCAAATAAAATTACATGGAATACACCAATAATATGTAAGTTTTTATTGATTGACTGCTGTTATAGCCGTTAGCGCAAAGGCATATACTACATTTATTAATAATGTCCAATCACAGCAACACATTGACACGCATTATATATATGTATGTACTTGTCTTACTATCCTTTTCCCACTCCCTAACCTTAAGTCGGTGAAAAGAGACATACAGTTGCAATAAGAAGATTTGACCGTGAGGCAAACGGTCGACCATTCTACTTCCGTGTCCCTTTGGTGCCGTATCTTAAATCATACCTTTTAAGCGCATATAAAACGCTTTAAACAAATAAAAGTGAGATATACACGACTGCAGAGCATATAAAGCATTTGTGAATAATAAGTAAAGGAAGCAAGTCAAGTCAAAGAAACCTGAGCTATCGGGTAAGTCACTGACAATTTTCCTACTCAAATCCCATTATTTGTACCACCATACTGGTCCTTCGATCCTGAATCCCCTCAAATAATATTTATCCAATTATATATAACATTATACAAAAATATATAACATTGCGAATCCATGTTAGCTTAACCTCCATTTTACATAACAAACAACTACACACATTATACCTTCTACAATATAGTTCTCTTTATTTCTACATGCTATCACGCGCATTAGACTTAAAATCATTATTTTAAACAACAACTCACATTCATAATTTAATTACTTGCTACGCATATTACCTTCACAAGCTATTATCATCCTTACAGCTACGGCTTTAACATTATTTTCACACGCATTGATTGTCAACTGTAGCGTTATTTCGACCGCTCGTTGTTTGTTTATCTACCCGCTTTTAAAATGCCTAGATACGAATCGCCCGTTCCAATTCCTTCTGATTCGGAAATTGAAGTTTTAATGCTAACTGCGAAACAAGAAAGCTTGTTTCAATTACTACAAACTATGTATGATCTGTCCTTAGACATCTCTGATGAAAAAATAAAAAATACTTTCCTCATTCGTACAAAATCGTTAGAACATGTACGCACCGAATTTATTGAAGTGACAGAGAGATTAAATATAGCCAATATGAAATGCAACCCGACTTGTACGCCCAGTTTCGACAAATTTTTGTCATTCGATCAATTATATTGTCACATAAAATCCGTCGAAAAGGAATTGACTGATGTTGTGCAAGTTCGGCAACAAGCTAAAATTGTAAATACTTCAAATCGAAGTTTTGACAATCTAAATACAAAACTTCCCGCTTTAGAGCTCATGAGTTTTGATGGATCGCCAAGTAAATGGGTAATGTTCTATGAAAATTTTAACGCGCTTATTCATAATAATAATAATTTGTCAAATGCTGAAAAGGTTCAATATCTGATTGGAAAGTTATCAGGCAAGGCTTTAACGGCTTGCGCCGGTATACCGCCAATCGCAAATAATTATGAAATAATATGGGATGCACTGAAGGAAAGATACCAAGACGTCAGAACATTAGCTTCGATGTACGTCGAGCAGATGTTGAATTTTCAAGCTAGTTCTAATTGCACTTTAAACTCATTGGACTCCTTTGTAGAACAATTCGCCTCTGCGCGATCGGCGCTGAGACAACTTGATATTAAAGATTTAGGTGATTTCGTCATAACACATATTGCATTGTCAAAACTCGACACAGAAACTGTTAGTATATTTGAACAAAGACCTCGTAAAGAAGTTATACCTTCTTTTGATTCCTTATTAGCATTCGTAAAAGAAAGAAGTAGAATCTTTATGTTACATAATCTTAACTCAAATAAGAGTAATAAAACGACTCATTATTATCAGAAATCTACGACATCACAAAATAAATTTAATAAGCATTTCGCTCAGACTATGGTTGTTGGTAATAATAACGTTTTAAGTAAGTGTTTGTTTTGTAAGAAAGAACCTGGTCATCCTTTATACAGGTGTGAACTCTTCTCTGACTTAGAACCCGCGTCTCGTTATCATTTTGTACGCAACCAGAATCTATGCATTAATTGTTTGGGATTTCATCCAGTTAAATCGTGCAAATCATTCAATCGTTGCAGTATTTGCAATAGCATGCACCATACTAAGTTGCATCTAGATTCGACCGGAGTCGAATCTGCGACCGTAACACAGGCGCTAGCTGTAAGTCACGAAGTCAGTGCGTATGACGTCCTTCCCCCGCAGTCACTGTCGCCGCACTCGCATTCCGTCGACGCGACTGCGAACACGGCCGCTTCCATACACATTACGGATACCGCTAACGAGTGCGCAGGAGGTTTCGCGCGCGCAGCTGATGTTACACTGCACTCCCCGCCCCCTTTAGATTCCCAACATAATGTCGCACTGACTGTATCTGCGCGCGATGACTCAAATTCGATCGTAATGATGACTCAAATTCGATCGTAATGTTGCCTACCGCTATTGTTTACGCGTATAGTACAACTGGGGAACGAATTAAAATAAGGGCATTATTAGACAGTGCTTCTATGTCGCACTTTATTACGAAAGAATGTTGCGATCGCTTAAAGTTAAGATTCACTCAAACTCCCGCTCATAGTTACGGGTCGCACGCCTAAATCGTACCTAGGTACCGCTGAATTCACAATTTCTTCTCGCTTTGATTCTCGGTGTAAATACACGCTTAAAGCAAGTGTTATAGACACTATATCGTACGAAGTTCCCGCTGCACGCATTAGAATCCAAATTATCATTTGGAACATTTACGCGACCTGCCTCGGGCTGACGAATACTTCGATGTCCCCGCTGACGTCGACTGCCTGATCGGTGACGAGCTGTTTCCATTTATATTAGGAAATAGAAAGATCTTAACAGCGCTTTCTCCCGCAGTTGGTATAGAAACCACTCTCGGTTACGTCATAATGGGACGGGCAGACATCGATTTTACTTCCCGTGGCAAAAGCCGTCCAACTAACACCCGCCAGAGTTTTCATGTGTTTGCTGAACCTACTTTAGAGGACTTAACACAGAAATTTTGTGAACTTGATAGTGTATAATAAAAAGCATAGATATAGTGCTGCCATAATTTTTTTTTATTTACTTGCTATACTTACGCATCCAGATTTTAGAATGGAACGGAACTGAATAAAATACACTATACAAACAAAAAATCAAAAGCTATAGCTTTCTATTCAGGCAAACTCATAGGCTTTAAAGTTATGTTTTGAGAAAGCGATGTAATGATTATAAGTATTTACCATATTTAAGGATTAAAAGTTTTGAATTGTAACACTAAAGTAATAAATGATAATAATTTTTAAAACGTCGGATAATTTTTCTAGGAAATCTTGATATTGTATTTAGTTTATGCTTTTAATATTGTGTATGCTATTTATAAACTAGCTTAACATGTAGTTCAATATTAATGATTATTAACACCGCTATACCATCTTGTACCTTAACATCGATATGCTAAAGTATGAAGCAAGAAATTGTGGTATAAATACTATAATTATAGTACAAAATACAACACTAAATCCGCAAAAATACTACTCTTTTCCGCTTTGAATCAGTTAATATTCAACTTAATTAAATTTGAATAAAAACATTGTTTTTGATACGATTTCGATATTCAATTTTTTATATCGGATCGAAATGTATCTTAATATTTTTTTCTACTTCCCTATTGTCAGACTTGACATTGACAAGTAATCAAAATCATCAAGAAAAGAAGATATATTGATGATATTGTCAAGTGAGTACGAAATGAAATTGCCGGCGAAAATCTTCCAATTTTGATAGTGTTTTACGTTTTACGCTAATATTACAAAAAACAAGTATGTCTAGGGATATGGTTGTTCTTTTTCCAAATGGAAGAAGAGTGAAAATTCACTGTTCGGAGGACACAAGTATCTTACAGGTTTGTATTTTTCACAATCATTATTTATGCATGTCATCCCTCCCAGATTTGGGTAGCCTTCAAATTAATTTTTTAAGGAATTGATTTTCTATTTTCGTATATTACGTTTTTCAAACTCAATCCTACAGATTTATATATATTTATTAAGATATTTACTTTCTTCCATTCGTAAAATAATTAGGTTTTAGAAGATGTCTGTGCAAAACAGGGAATTCAACCAATTGATTATGACCTAAAACATCACAACAAGGTCTTAGATTTAACAACAACTGTTCGATTTTGCAACTTGCCTAATAAAGCAATGTTAGAAATGGTAGAAACTGAACGAAAACGAATTGAGACTAATGTTACCATTGGGCTGATGTTAGAAGATGGTAAGTTCTTTCTAGTAATTAACACAACTTTCTAATACAATTTGTTCATGTTTTATTGATACACATATTTGCTAAAAATGTTTTGTTAATTAGGTTGTTACCTCCTGACCGGTTGATCCTCAGTAATCCAGCCCCTTTTGTGTCCTGTGCAATATATAATTATACCTGTACCCTATATATGCCTTTATGACTTTTTCAATTCAAAAACTGGTTTGAAATAAAATAACAATCACCTATTTGGTCATCATCACTTTTTAGATACATCACAGTTTGTTAATATAAACAAATGCAGCAATGCAATTTTTTTAAAGTTACAAAAAGTTGTAACTTACGGATAATTCTTTTGGATCTGGATTTTTGTCCATGGAAAAATTATCTATGTAAATCATCCGTACAACACAGTAAGGGCAATGATTTATAAAAAAATTGTTTGTCGGATTAAACCAGAGTGTCACTGTATCTAAATGAGAAAGTTAAACATTATAATAAAAATATTATTGAAATGTTTTTCAGAAATATTGGAACTTATGTGCACATTTCTACAAGCTAGCTTATACATATTGTTATGAACACACAAAGGAACTAACGCCATCTAGCGTCAACTATTAAAATCACTAAAGAACAAAGACGACATAAAACCCCCTATTCAATACTAGATGGCGTTAGAGCAACTGCTGTGGAACTATAGTCTCGAAAACCGGGTACATTCGCGAACTTTCCGGAATCACGAACATGTTCGGGCGTGTCGGGTACGTTCCAGGAAGGATCTTTCTGGATTAGTCTGGAACCGGTCTCGGCCCATATAAAAAGCCGCGGGGAGGCGAGCGAATACAGTTCAGTTTGAGCTACCTTCGAGGCGACTTCGGAGCGAAAACTAGTGATCAAGAGCGATACCAGTGAAACCTACTACTTGGCTACAAAACAGGACACCGTTAGTGCTTAGTGTTTGGACCTAGTGCTTTGTGTTGGACCTAGTGCTATTGAATAAAGTCTTCAAAAGAGTCAGCAGGTCTTTCTCTCCAAATCATTTGCACCCCTAACACGTAACAACTGGTGTCAGAAGTGGGATTTGGAGATGCCATTGACTCCGAGAGAGGACTTCAAGGAGGGTGTCAGGACAAGGGCACGAGCTGCGGAGACCACACCCACTGGGGACCAAGCCCCGCCCACTATGGGTCAAGCCGAATCCAGGTACGGGGAGCGACACCTGGAGCACGTGTTCCGTGCCCAACTGCGTGACCGAGTCCAACGCTCAGGAGAAGGACTACAACAATGGGCGTTGGAAATTGAAAAACTCGTCAGGAAGGCACACCCAGGAGCCGACACCAAGATGGTAGACACGAATATTGTTCAAGCATTTGTGGACGGAATCAAAGACCTGGAGGTCAGAGCTGCAGTGAGGCTTCGTCACCATACCTCGCTAAAGGAGGCATTGGCGCACGCTTTGGAGGTCGAGGCTGTTCGCTACGACATACGGCAGACCCATAGGATCCGCGAGGTCTCTGAGGAAGTGAAGGAGGTTAAGGCTCCTACGAAGAGAAGTCCTGGAGCCATGTGCTACAAGTGTGGCGAGAGGGGCCATCTTCAGCTCAACTGCCCGCAGAAGGAGACCCACATGGCAAGGATGAAATGGATCGAGGAACAAATAGCGGAGCTGAAGAAACGAGAGGCTTCGTCCCCTGCCCGGGATCAGGGAAACTAATAAAAGCCAGTACTAAGGGGGCGAGTACTGGCTGACGCGGAGGAAGCCCCGATAACTGTTATCTCCCAGGCATGCAGCGGGAATAGCCTTGTGATTCAGGGTATTATTAACGGGTCGGATTGCAAAATGACTCTAGACACAGGAGCCTCTAGAACAATAGTGAACCCAAAACTGGTAAAGCCTCAAGGGGACTCAAGAGGAGAATTAACTGCCGGCTCCTTACTGCCTCCGGTCAGCCAATACCCGTCTTGGGAGAAATGTCAGTCACGATGTATGTAGGGGGGTCATCATACTCTCATAACGTCATTGTGGATGATTGCATCCTTGGTTTTGATTTCATGAAGAAACACAACTGCAGAGTTAATGTCGCTGACGGAGTTTTCAAGTGTGGTGAAGAAGAAATCTTCATTCTCGGAGGCACCTGCGGGAAAGTCGCATGTATAAAGAAAGTCATTATACCTGGACGAGCGGAAGCCCAGGTGCTGGTGAAACTTCCGCCAGCTGGAAATAAGGTGTCAAACAGATGCGTGTTGATCGAAGGCACTCCTACCAAGACATCAGCGCAAAAACTGATGACGGCGAGAACCCTTGTTAGTGGAAGCAGTAACGCTGTGATCAAGGTTTTGAATCTTGGTGATCGCGAGGTCTGCTTGAACAAAGGTGACGTCATTGGGAAGTGCGAGGAAGTTGTCTGGATGAAAAAGTGTAGTTCGGTTACAGGCGCAGACTCGGCAAACAGCAATAACTACGAATGAGCTACTCGATGACTGCAAGAGTAATCTGACTTATTCGCAGGGCATTAAAGCTAGGAAGTTTTTACAGCGCTACGCGAATATCTTCTCCAGTCAAGAAGGGGACCTTGGAGGAACTTCGATGGTTCTGCACAGGATAGATACCGGAAGCGAAAGACCAATTCGTCAACGAGCAAGACGGATACCAATTGCAAAGGAAAAAGAAGTTGAAGGCCTTTTGGAGGACATGAGAAGGAATAAGATTATTGAACCGTCTACAAGTCCGTGGTGCTCACCTGTTGTGTTAGTGAAGAAGAAAGATGGTAGCACGAGATTTTGTGTGGACTATAGGCGTCTCAATGATGTCACTAAAAAGGACAGTTACCCGTTACCTCGAATCGACGACACTTTGGATACCTTAAGTGGCATGAAATGGTTCTCGACCCTAGACCTGAAATCTGGATACTGGCAGGTGGAAATTCATCCAAAAGACAAGGAGAAGACAGCTTTCTCGACCGGTAAAGGTTTATGGCAATTTAACGTCATGCCCTTCGGATTGTGCAACGCGCCTGCCACATTTGAGCGACTCATGGAGTGTGTACTTGCAGGCTTAGTTGGAGAGGCTTGCTTAGTCTACCTAGATGACATCATTGTTGGCCGTGACTTCGAGGACCATTTGCGAAACTTGGAGCGAGTTTTCGCCAAAATAGAGGGAGCCAAATTAAAGTTGAACCCGAAAAAGTGTCGTTTATTCAGGAGCAAGGTCAACTATCTCGGCCATGTTATCTCTAGTTATGGAATTCAGACAGACCCGGAGAAACTGGAAGCAGTTCAAAAATGGCCTACCCCTAAGGACAAAACCGAAGTGCGGGCATTCCTCGGCCTATGCTCATACTACAGGCGTTTTGTTAAGGGATTCTCAGAGATAGCCAAGCCATTACATCAGCTGACAGAAGATAAACGACCATTCAGTTGGGATGGGACTTGTGAAGATTCTTTTCAGAAACTGAAGAAACATCTGTGTGAAACACCAATCCTGGGGTATCCACAATCTGAAGGTCAGTTTATAGTTGACACAGATGCAAGCAACACGGCCATTGGAGGGGTGTTATCTCAAAAACAGGGTGAAAGAGAAGTTGTTATTGCATATTTCAGCAAATCGTTATCCAAGCCAGAGAGAAACTACTGTGTAACAAGAAGAGAACTCTTGGCTGTTGTAAAGACGCTACAACATTTCAACAAATATCTCATTGGCAGACAGTTTTTACTGCGAACTGATCACGCAGCCTTGAAGTGGCTACTGCAATTCAAGAACCCGGAAGGTCAAGTAGCTCGATGGATTGAGCAGCTCGATGGATTGAGGAGCTCCAGAGCTTCAAGACGGAATACCGCAGCGGAAAGACGCATGGAAATGCCGACGCACTCTCACGAAGGCCGTGTTCGGAAGACTGCAAACATTGTGTTACGCAGGAATCTAATGAAGTTACATTAAAGCTAACGAGGACAAGTCCTTTGGGTCTCTGAGAGAATGATGCTATGAGAGAGGCTCAAGAAAGTGACGACGACCTTCGGCACATCATCACATGGAAGAAGCGGGGCGATGTAAAACCAAACTGGAGTGAGGTTGCACCCACTGGCGCTGTCACTAAGGCGTACTGGGCGCAATGGGACAGTCTGATACTTCAAAACGGAATACTCTACCGGAAATGGGAGAAGACTAACGGCAGAGAGTTCCATCTTCAGATAATTGTCCCGAGAACGAGAGTACCAGATGTTCTCCGTGAAATACATGATGGCGTATCAGGAAGTCATCTAGGTGTCAAGAGAACGTTAACAAAAGTGCGAGAACGATTCTACTGGTTGCATTGTCGAGATGATGTACAGGATTGGTGCCGCAAATGTACTACTTGCGCTGCTGTAAAAGGACCACAGACCAGAAGCCGTGGGAACCTGCGGTTGTATAACGTCGGTGCACCGTGGGAACGAATTGCAGTTGACGTAGCTGGGCCATTTCCTGTAACGGAATCGGGAAACAAGTATTTTATGGTCGTCATCGACTACTTCACCAAATGGTCCGAAGTATTCGCCATACCAAACCAAGAAGCTACAACAGTCGCTTCTAAGTTAGTCGAAGAAGTGAAATGTCGTTTTGGTGTGCCTCTGGAAATCCATTCCGATCAGGGCAGGAACTTCGAATCACAAGTATTCCAGGAAGTGTGCAGAATTTTGGGCATGCATAAGACGTGGACCACCGCGTGCCACCCACAGTCTGATGGAATGGTTGAGAGATTTAACCAGACCCTTGAGAGGCATCTGGCGAAATTGGTAGACGACAAACAAAAGGATTGGGACAAGTATATACCACTCTTCCTTCTGTCGTACCGAACCGCCGAGCATGAGAGCATAAAAGCTACCCCGGCGTATGTCAATTACGGTAGAGAACTACGATTACCAGTAGACCTATTGACAGGAGGGTCACCGGAGGGACCACAGACCGTACAAGACTATGTCTGCAATTTAAGGGAAAAAATGCGCTATATACACGCCTTGGTTCGGGAAAATTGGTTACAGTCAAGTGAGAACATGAAAACCAGATACGACCGGAAATCGAACACGGACGGCTTCGAAGAAGGGTCACTGGTGTGGCTGCATAACCCAACTCGTCGGAAAGGGAAATCTCCAAAGTTGCAGATCAAGTGGGACGGTCCATACAAAGTGGTTACCCGACTGAATGATGTGACTTATAAGGATTCAAAAGCAACCAAGAGGGACATTCAAAGTGGTACACATAGACCGTCTGGCGCGTTACCATGGCAGTAACAATGATGCTCGGGACGAGCATCTCTAAGAGGGGAGTAGTGTTATGAACACACAAAGGAACTAACGCCATCTAGCGTCAACTATTAAAATCACTAAAGAACAAAGACGACATAAAACCCCCTATTCAATACTAGATGGCGTTAGAGGAACTGCTGTGGAACTATAGTTTTGAAAACCGGGTACATTCGCGAACTTTCCGGAATCACGAACATGTTCGGGCGTGTCGAGTACGTTCCAGGAAGGATCTTTCTGGATTAGTCTGGAACCGGTCTCGGCCCATATAAAAAGCCGCGGGGAGGCGAGCGAATACAGTTCAGTTTGAGCTACCTTCGAGGCGACTTCGGAGCGAAAACCAGTGATCAAGAGCGATACCAGTGAAACCTACGACTTGGCTACAAAACAGGACACCGTTAGTGCTTAGTGTTTGGACCTAGTGCTTTGTGTTGGACCTAGTGCTATTGAATAAAGTCTTCAAAAGAGTCAGCAGGTCTTTCTCTCCAAATCCTTCGAACCCCTAACACGTAACAATATATTTAATCATAGTCCAAATATCTAAACACTTTTCAAATTAAAATTAATTTATTTTTGTAAAAACTAAATAAAAATTAATTATATTTAGATTATAACAGTTTACTCAAAAAGTTTAACAGTGCAATTGTTAAAAATAACATTGTAAACAGTAACAAATTGCAATAAGCATTCATGCATATTTAAAAATTTTAGGGGAACGTAAAACAGGAGACTTCCCACCTAGCACATCATTATATGATATGATTATGTCACTAGCCCCTGAAAAATTATATTCATTAGACCATCCATCAATACTGTATATGAGACAGGAAGTAACAGGACTAACAGCTCTTAAAGAAAAAACTTTGCGGCAATTTGGATTAATAACAGGCAGAGCCATATTAAGATTATTGAACAAAACTGATGCAATGTAAGTAAGAATTTTAAATACTTTTGTGATTTTAATGAATTTAAGTTTTCTTAAAGTATATAATAACTCAATGATACAGGTAACAGAATTTAAGAAAGCAAAAGTTGGTAAAAATTGTATTCTCTTTTTATGTACATAAAATGTTATTACACAGGATAATGTAATTGTATAGTAAGGGCAATGTAAAAAAATACAACAACAATTGTTTTTGCAACCATAATGAATATGCATCTTTGTCAGATTTCAAGTAGTATTTTGTTCAATGATGTCTCTGATCACAAGGGTGAAGCCCGATAGGTGAGAGGCACATTGAACATTAACATAGGGCTGGAAAGAGCTTGTCTGATGAATTCCTCACTCTGTCCATCTCCTGGATTTGTGGAGTACGCGTCATCTTGAATCGTCTTGCGACTTCCAGCCTTCCAAACAATTCCGAAAAGGCTTTACTACCATAGACCACATACACACTCTGCGTCAGATCATACAGAAGGCCGAAGAGTATAATCTACCTTTACGGCTAGCGTATGTGAACTAGGAGAAGGTCTTCGTTCTGTCGAAATTTTGGGCGGTACTCCAGGCCCTTCGGTGCCAAATCCAACTCTGATTAGCAGCGTTCGGGAAACTTCAGCATGTCTTCTCGTCTAATATCCCTCAATGTTTGAAGACTGAAGTCTTCAATCGTGATTCGTGATAGTCTGTGGGTGAGGCCTTTGTTCAACAGTAGACTTTAAAAAGGCTAAAATGATGATGATGAGTATTTTGTTAATTTTTTTTTGTGTGAAAAATTAATTCAACAAATATCCATGTCATTATGTTCCAATATAATTATGGTCTTGTTAATATCTTAAACTTATGGCAATTTAATAAAAACTTGTTGCATATATTGAAATAAGTAGTGAAGGTAAATGATAATGTATATAAATAAGAAATGTTCTAACAGTGATTATAAGATGCATTCTGCGGTGGTCGTTTTATTATTTATTTTTGCAGTCTGTAATTTTAATTTTTCGTCATTTCGCACCTCTTTCTTCGTTTGTATCTTTTCCACTGGAGACGTTTTCGATTTGTTTCATAAAAGTTTACCGTTCAAACCTGTTAAATCCAAAAATCCAATTCTGGATATGTTAACATGGTAAGACAACGCAACAGCCTTTACTGTCGCACTAATAGGCAAGTGCGGCCGGGTAAGTACCGCCACCTCACAGAAGACCGGCGTGAATCGGAAGTGTTATACTTCTACGTTTCGCCCAGGGTCCACTTAATCAACAACCATCTGCACGGGTGTTGCAAATGTCAATGGGCGGGGGATATCACTTAACATAAGATGAACTGCCAGTTTACTTGTCACCTTTTCGCATAAAAAATCATTGCATTGATGTTCAACCATAGTTTAAGGGAAACTTTATGATTATTTGATATTAAAGTATTATATTTAGTTTATGATAAGAAAATAAACTGGATTGTATTTTCTACTGATACAATTCACTTTAGTATGATAGTTTTAATTGCTGTCTAACTTTAATTTTTTTATTCGTTATCTCGCTTTGTTATAAAAACAGAAGAGTTTCATTTAGAAATATCGAAATATAATTTAGAGTATCACAATTAATAAAGTCGTATTAATGTCAACCTATCAAATATTTTTTTAACTCGATACCCTCGTTATTGTAAGTTATTAACAAATTTATCATTTTTCCACATCAAAGGCAAGCAAATGTTTCAAGAGTATATCGCGGAGAACAAGCCAAAGATAAAATAGAAGAACGAAAAGACAGTGCCGCGAGCCGTAAAATAGAACAAAGTTTACCTTATTCAGAGGCATCTTTCCCAGGGCCTTCTGGTTACAGCAAAAAAGATAAAAAAACTATCATTAATCCTGTTGAGGCTATTAAACAAGAACTTGTTAAGAATAAACAAGCCGATAAAGATGACAAAGACAGTGAAACTGAAAAAAAAGAGGAAAATGAAACCGTTGATATGAAGATGGAAGTAGACTCTACAGAAATAGACGTAGCTAAACCATCAGCAGCTACCACTTCCGACACCTCGGTGCCATGCCGGATGTCGCAGGAAACACTAGAGCGACGCCTTAAAATAGAAGACGAAGTTACTTTTGTAAGTTAGTTGATTTTCATCACACCATGTAATACACATACAGCGTGTCGTTACCATCGCGACAATAAATGAACACACATCATATAGGGGATAACTTTTTAAAGTTGTATTAAACATTTAAATTATTTAAACATCAATATTTACAGAGTTATTAAATTTTCCAAAACAAAGAATTTTAGAACATCCTTACCTATAAAAGCGTAACGTAAAGTTCATTTGTAAAGGTCACAAAGCATATGAATGGGTTGAATGAATTTACAAGAGACAAAACATACTGTAAGAAGGAGAGGCTTGTAATACGACGCTGTGGCGCGAGTTGTATAGGATGTTACAAATTTTGTTTCTTTTTTACTTAATTAGTTTGAAAAATATTTTTTTTTAATTATGGATTTTGTTTAACGTTAATATTCTTTTATGATTATTGGCAAGTAGCGTTAGACGTGTGTTCATTTATTGTCGCGATGGTAACGACACGCTGTATAAAGTAATAATTAAAAAAAACCGGCCAAGTTCGAGTCAAACTCGCGCACGAAGGGTTCCGTACCATTATTTATAAAAACGGCAAAAAATCACGTCTTTTGTATGGGGGCCTCGCTTAGATATTTTTTTATTCTGTTTTTATTATGTTAGTATTTGTTGTTATAGTGGCAATATAGCAATACATCTTCTGTGGTCGTTGATGAGGTACAACTTGGTGATATACGGACAGACTGTCAGTCAGTCAGTAGAGTAGGGTTTTACACCAAAGTGTAAAACGGCCCCTAGACTCTACGTACCCAAAGGTACGGAACCCTAAAAATTGAACTAATGTTTCTTGTTTTTTTAAAGGAACATATTTTTATTTTCAAGCCATACAAATATATCAATAACCAGGATGATCTTATATAGTATTCAAAGGGATTTATGTTATCCATATATTTATTATATAATTAAAAAAAAATATTTTATTTAATTTTTTTTATTAATTGATCCGATATGTAATTATGATTTATTCACTACAATTTCAAACCTATTCAAGATACTCACTGTATGTTTGCAGTTAGGAGCTCAAAAGGCTATAGCTTTTATGCAGCCAGATGAAATGGAGGATGAATTACAAGATCTACCCGACGATTTCTACGATCTGACGATTGAAGAAGTACGCAAAATGTATCATGAGCTTCAACAAAGGCGGTTGGAACTAGAAAATACGCCACTAATGACTTCTACTCAGAGAAACGACGTCGAAAATCAGGTAAAGACCTTCAGAGGCTTAATACAGTCCCATCTATTGCCTTTTTCATTTGTTCATTCTACATTCATAGTACATATGATTCTTATTCTATTGTTAAAGATGTTTTTCGTTACATCAGTAATTATTAAATTGAATTGTTATTAAATAAGTGTCATCAAAATAAAAGCTATAATAAATAATTATTTCAGTCAAATAAACATAAACAGAATGTTTATAAAAATGCTGTCGTAAGGATACAATTTCCTGATCATATGATATTGCAAGGCATTTTCGTACCAACTAAAACAATCGAGGACGTCATGAACTTTATTAAGGAACATTTGCATAATCCTGATAAGCCATTTGTTATATGTAAGTAACGATCATTGTTATTAATTTTTTTGGCTCACTCTGTATCTAGCGTAGAATACGATAGAATACATATTACAATATTTTTAGTAAAAATTATCTAGGAAATAGCACCTATTTATTTTATCAAAGCTTGTGAGTACCCTCGGACTAGAAAAATAACTGATCTCCGCGCGACGCTTATCAAGAGTATAGTGCATTGCACTGCACTATGGGATACCAAATGAATGAAATATTGCCAATCTCTTTATTTAGCTTAATTAAAAGATAACAGAAGTTCAATCATTGTATTATTTAGTATGTAATTAAGTATGTATTATTTAATGGAAATGGCAAAAACATTAATTATTTCTTTTGCAAGAATTCTAAAAAAATGTTGCTGCAGTACATATATAATTCAATTAATTGTGTTGGGTATTAATGTGGGCAAATTTCCTATGAGGAAAATATTAAAGCTTAAGCGGATGGGTTATAACTTTACGTAAAACGCAAATGGTGTTAAGATTTACCCATAAGAATATTTAGCCTTCTACCACTACTAATTTTATTAATCCGAAAGTAACTCGATCTGTGTAAATTTAGCTGGAATCGCGACACAGAACATTTCAATTTTTCATCATCACTATCATTACCATTTTTCAACAGTACGCGGGTGAAACCGCAACCTACCGTGTACCTAGTATAAAGTCTTTTTTTTATGTGAAAAGTTACCAAACGAGCAGACGGTTCACCTGATGTTAACTGAATACCGCCGCCCATAGACATCTGCTACACCCGAGAGTTTGCAAATGCGTTGACAACCTTTTTGGAAATTGAGCTCCGGCTACCTCACTCACCAGACGAAACGCGAAAGTATTTGTGATACTTCCACTTTACGCTGGTCTTCTGTGTGGTCGTGGTACTTACCCGGAAGAGCCTGCCCATTCGTGCAACAGTCGAGGCTGCTGCGTGGCTCTACCACCGTTAAAAAAAACTCTAATACTTGGAGTTTGCTAAAATGAATGTGTTTGCTAAATTGAAATAAAATGTTTGGAAAAAATGTATATAAACTACTTTGAGATTATATTCGGTGTGGCAGTCAGCCGTTCAGTTAAAGCCAGTTCAGTCTGCGCGATTCCAAAAGATATGGGTTCGATTCCCGCTTAATGACCACCGGAAAATCAGTTATAAAATGAATAAAGAGCGAGATATTTGAAGTCGGTTTTGTTTTTCGTTAATAAAAAATGGAGTTGTTTGTATGGTTTTTTATCCATCTTGGTATTTTCTTTAATTGACAAATGGATTAAGAAAGCTTAGCTTAGTTGTTTATTCCTTTTGTAATAACATTATTTACTTTTATAATTTGCTGTATGAAAATAATTTGATGATTGCGATACTGTTAAAAATTTATGGGAACCAAAATGTTATGGCTAGTGTATCATCAAATAAATTTTCCATTGTTACATGGTTTTTTCGCGATCTGATGAATTTTTATCGTTGATTTGGAGAAATAAACAAGTCTTATTTTCGGTATAGCCGAACAATAAGATAATTAGATCAATTAGGTTCACAGCTAATTATGCCACTAAAAATCACTCAATTTCACTAACAGAAATAGAAACACGCGCAACAAATAATTTAGATGTGCTATGTTTACAAATTAATGTTCCAGTCACTACACCTTTGAGAGAACAATTGAACCCCTCGACCACTCTGCTTGAAGCGAAATTTGTCCCGTGTGTTCACATGCATTTCAAATGGTCTGATGAAAACAGCGGCGGCCCATATCTTAAAGAAGAAATATATCTGAAGAAAACATCAAGTGATGCTGCAAGTATATTGGCTTCAAAATACCGGTAAGAAATGAGTCTTGTAAAACGAGTTTTGTTCGATTATAATATCATTTAAGCTTTGAAATCTTTAAAGCCTGTAGGGAAAATTAAGTATTTTAATAGACAATGATGATGGAAATAATAAAATCAAACGTTAAGAAATTTATAACGAAATACTTTAATACCTCCTAATAATCATATCACAATATTATGATCAAACTATACTAGAGCCGTAGTAGCTTTGTGTCAAGGCGCTAGTCTTTAGTACAATGTACTCATAGCAACATTGGAGTTTATTTTAAGTACTGAATAATCACGTGCTCATCGGGTAAAGGAAAATATCTTGAGAAAACCTGCATATTTTCGAAATAATTAACAAAAAAATATTTAAAAGATATGTGGGCCAAGCAGTGGAGACGCGTGGTGGACTATGCCCTGATACCCTCTGTATAGAGTAGGCCTTTGCCCAGCTGTGGGACATATATAGGTTGATACTTTACTTTTTTTTTAATACTAAACTACCAATGACAGGAAAAAAGTAACATTATAGAGAAAAATAAATGTACGTAAACGACAAATTTGTTGATTATCGGTATTTTAGACTCATTAAATATCAAATGTGTGCAACGACCTAACGACCTGTGCAAGTGTTGGAGAAATCGAGTGATACAGGTGGCTTAGGATCGTGCTCCCTTGGCTGTTTGTGTGTGTCGGGGGGAGGGGGGGGCTCAAACATCTTATTCTCGAGGCTCATAAGAAAAGTTCTCGATTAATTTCCCTTTGACAATAATGTATTTATATATGAAATGTAAAATATCACCCGATTTTCTATTATATGATAATTTTACAGGTCTCCATCTCGAAGAACAATCGATGAAAATCACTCTCTAACGCCGAATCCAAAATCCTCTACTACGAAACAGAGTAAAGTGCCCAAGTGGTTTAAAAAATGAGAAGTAAAAACTATATTGCTTTATAATAAGTTATGGCATTACGCAACAAATGTAAACTTTGTAAATACTATGATAAAGTTACTTTATGATTAAAATTCAATAATCATATGAAAAAGTGTGTACATATTATTATCTAAGGACTTAAAACGTTAAACTTCGAGCAGATAATCGCACTTAGTTATTTGGGCCATGGGGCCCACCGGTGGCCCACTCTGTATTGAACTGTTCGGGCCACGGGGGTCACCTGATTGAAACGAGATTTACAGATGCCACGAGGCATTAATATTGAATAAAAACCGGCCAAGTGCGAATCGGACTCGCGCACAATGGGTGCCGTACCATTATCTATAAAAACGACAAAAAGTCATGTCTGTTGTATGGGAGCCCCACTTAATATTTTATTCTGTTTTAGTATTTGTTGTTATAGCAATGCATTCAAATCAGATATTGAAGCATTGTTATGTATGAAGCTATGAAAAATGATAAAGACTAGTAGAAAGTTTTTTGAAGTCATACTTCTTTTGGCGCGTTTGGAACAAATAAACAGATGTTTGTAACGTATATAATCTAATAAAAGGAATTATTTGATAGTACTATCAAAACGAACCCCAATTGTTTTTTAACATCAGTTTGGTAACTGGAAGACATAATCTTACATATGGACGCATATAAAAATCCCTTTAAATAACCGCGTTATGACTTAATATAATAATTTATGTTATTAGTCCCTATGGTAGCCATACAGCAGCTTTTGTTTATTTTGAATTATCAATTAAATTACACGTACACAGAGTTAAATAAACAACTCAAATTCAAATTATATGCAACAATTTAAACTTAATCTCAATTATGGGTAGTCACAGCATTCAACAATAGTATTTGTCGTACTCATGGTATAATCGTTTTTGACTAATCTAAGACAAAAAAGAGTAACACAAATGTAAAAAAGTACAAACAACAAAAAATAAAATAAGTTGACGTTATTCTAAATGCGAAATCAATTGTCTTTCACTACTGTGTTAATTTTAATATTTTAACTTTAAAAGAATTTAAATTATTTGAGAAGCAATCGATGGAATTGTCTTTCCTTGAAAATTATTGGTATAGCCTGATTAGGTGAGGTAGGATGGAGTGGTGCCCAAGGTTAGTTCTGTATAAATTGGGCTGGATGAATAGGATAAGTGGTAAACGAGAGGCAGTTTTAAAACACACGGCTCAACAATTCTGGGTTATCTATAGTCCCGTTAATGGGTTTGTGCAGGAATATCATGTCATGCAGCTTACGTCTGTCTGAGATCGAGTTTAACTTTGTTTTGAGTCGATTAGTATAGGATACTCTTTTATTGGGTCCAGAAAAGAATTCTGTAGAAATCTCTCTAATCGATATTTGTATATTTAGTAGCTGCTGTTCCAGATGACTGTACCATACTCAAGTTTGCTTCTAACTAGGCTTATGTAAAGAATCTTTTTAGTTTAAATTTTTTTTAATTGTTTAGAGTTTCTGAATACAAAACCTAGCATCTTGCGCGCAGATCTGGAAATATTGTCAATATGGTCATTGGAACGTAGTTTTTTATCGAGTGTTATTCTCAGATCGCGCACAAAATTCAAATTCTGAAGCAAGATGTAATTAATAGTATATTTAGCTTCGAGTACAGAACGTGTGAAACTAATGCACGAACATTTGCTAGGGTTTAGTTCCATTCCATTTCTCGAACACACCAGTTAGCAACTCTATTTAAATCCTCCTGAAGCTTGGTAATGTCATCGACTGATATAATCTCTTTTGCCAGTTTAGATCGTCTGCGAAAATATAAAAATTTGGGTTCTGAATGCATTTCGTAATGTCGTAATTTATATCCCAGTATGGATCCCTGGGGTGCTCCCGATGGCGCATCGAAAATTACGGGTGTGTGGCCCTTTATTGCTACATATGAGCATATATCCGATATTTAAGTAGAGAACCATGCCAATAGTGACCCGCCCAGACCAAAAGAAGAGACCTTAGCCACTAACAGTTTGTGATTTACCCTGTCGAAAGCTTTTGAGAAGTCTGTATAAATAGCATCAATTTGATGTTGAGAGTCAAGAGATGCTGACACAAAATTCGTGAAGATTGATGGGTTTGTGATAGTAGATCGACCGATCACAAAACCATGTTGAGCTTCTGAAACGTGGTGAACCTGGTTCGATAGAATCGGTTGAATCAGAAACTCAAAAACCTTTGACAAAGCTGAAAGGATCAAGATCGGCCTGTAGTTGATAATATTCGTCGCAATCGTGTTTGTTACACGAATGAGCAGTATCGTCTGTGAAAGTACCACTACAGAAGACCGTCGTGAAATGAAAGCATTTCTTCTGCTGAGAAAGGGAACCAGGATCCACATTTTTAATGATTGGCAATGCAACCCGTCAGGTGTTAAGTATGCGGTCACCACTTACAACCAGGTGAACTGCTTGGTCGCTTGCCAACTTAGCACTTAAAAAAAGGTTAGATCCGTTTCCCATATTAGGTACTAACGTAGTAGTTACAGTACACGAAAAATTTAAAATAACATTTTACAATGATAATTCGAACGAGATGTCGCCTTTGCTATTGAAATTTAAATTCTCTATTAAGTTATTATAGTGCTAATCTAAAATTTGCACGCTATTCTATAGACGAAACATTAACATTTGTAGAAAAATGGACGAAGTTTTGGCCGCCGAAGGAATCAAACAAGAATCGCGCCCAGGCGCTTAAACCACTATACTAAACGGCTGATCTATACGCCGACGAAAATATCATAATTACCATTATATTTTAATTGTTTTTAGTAATTTTTTCTACAAATTTTAACGTTCAAATTATGATATAAATAATGCAGTTTACAGTACAAAGGAAATATTTACAAGATCGTTTTCAGTTTTAACAGTATTACAAACATTTATTATTCTTTTTTAGGTGATTAGGAAAACAAAAATATTCAAAAATAATAATTTATTAAAAAAAGTACACAATACAAAGTACAAAAATACCCCTAGTATAAAGTTATTTACAGTTTAATAAAAGATGGAAGATTACCTAATTTACATCTACTAGGTTTGATAACGTCACAAACTTCATTTTGTTCTGAAGCTTTGTTAGCTTCTTTAAAATATCTGCATTCGGAATCGTTTTTGTTCTGTACAGATGTTTCAACTTCACTGTTTGATGAAGTTTTCGTTTTTATTTCGCTCTTTTTACTTAAAGTTTGCTTCATTTTAATTTTATTCGACATAACAATTAAAGGAGATGAACACGAATACTGTCGTTGTATGTTCATGCTACGTTTTATAAGCAATTGCAAACCCTTGTTTACATGCCTATAAACACATTTTTCACCCTTCTCGCAATATCCTTTCAAAAAATCGTTACATATCTTAGTTGCATTGTTTAATTTTACGTGTAAGTAAGGGCAGTTTTCTTTAGTGCACATACCATTTAGATAGAAATAGCAAGTTGGCATTTTCTTAGCGCTCAACTCGTGAGAGAAACGGCAGGAAGCGTCGTGGCAAATACCCTTAAGGAATTTTCTGCATAACGACACGTGCTTCTTGTCATGTAAAAACTTACAATTGCCGTGAATGTACCTAAGACACTTACCATATTTAGAAAACAAAGGGCACGGTATGTTATTCTTTTTGAATTTCCCAACAGTAATTTTTCGATTGCTTTGAAAGCTTGAACTGAATACATTTTTTTTACATGCCAGTAACGTTTTCTTACCAAGTATCGGTTTTGATTCAGTTATCTTTTTCGTAGGCGGAATAGTTTTATTAACTTTGATATATTTTCTGTTACCTGTCGACAAACGAACTGATGTCTTTGGAAATTCTGGTTTTGGCATTAACCGGTTAACGTACGCTGGCGATGGCAATTCTTTTATTGGATCCTTAATTTTTTCTTCTGTCCGAAGGTTATTCTTGATATAACTGAGACGCACAGATTTATATTTATTTATTTTTATTGTACAGCTTTTTTTATTTATTGGTTCTTCGACTTTATTGACGCACGCGTCTGTTTTATTACGCACCAAAGTATACCGCGATTTAGTGACTGAAGTTTGTAATGATTGCTTTGGAATCTCTTTCATTGTTCGTAATGACGAAAAATCCTCATTACTACGGCTATCAGTGCTCCTCACTACGGCACCAGGCTGCGCGACGGTGTGAAAACTCATCCCAGGAGGTCCAGTAGCGCCGAAAGCATAGTTTTGATTTACGAAATTCGGATTTACAAAAATTCGCCTTTTAACAATATTTGCATTAGGCTGTTGTTGTGAGTGTGTAGGTGTCATTATAGGAAAATTTGAATTTACATGCAAGTTGTTATTGGATCGTATAGGCATAGGAATTACTAAAGACCTTTGATTAAAATTTGGATTAATGTAGACTTTCTTAAGACTTCGTTCCATTTTCAATAATTTTAAGCACCTTGCAAGGGAAGACTATACCAAACAAAACTGGAAATGTTTGTTACCACTCTTACAACACACTTTTTCAATTAATACGGATTCTTCTAATGTCTTTTCAACTTCTTGATTTAGACTGCTCTCAAAATTTCCCAAGATTGCTCTTAAATTTTCTCTTTCATCACCATTAACCCACAAAAGACTTATATGGAATGATGGGTGCTAAAAACAGTAAAGGGGAAAAAAAATAAGTTGTATGAAGCAATGTAAAAATAATATTTTTCAACGAAAATATAAGTACACACACTACTTTAGACCGCGATATACCGGACAAAGCTGTTATTCGGCCACTAAACAAAATAAACTACTACTACTTTAAAAAATAAAGATGTAATGCAACAAGGTTCCTTTGTTTCCATTGTTAAATCATTTAACAGGCCAAACAAACTGTAATGTATTACTTAATTAGGATTGTTCCCAAATGATATTGCAATGAATTGATTTTGTTGCGATTTAATTAAAGTTGTTGGTTTGATACCTATTGCGTCGTGATATTTCCTACTCCATAAAGTGGGGTTGGTTGGTATTTGTTTTTGAGGGGTATAAATTCAACTCTCACAACGTACGAGTTAGTTTTTTGGTTATTGCAAGTTAAGGCTGTTGCTCTGCTGCAATAGCTAAGTGATATTTTTATCCAATTATCGAGTATCGAGTTATAGTTGTATAAATCGGTAGAAGCTGTATTTTGTAACTTGTCTTCAATAATCTTTGCTGGAAAAGCTAAGTATTATTGTTATCCAATTGTTGAATTATAGTTGTATAAATCGGTAAAAGATATGTTTTATAACTTATCTCTAATAATATATAGTTATAATTCTTCTGTACGTGTGTATGTCACTGAACTCCTCCTAAACGGCTGGACCGATTTTAATGAATTTTTGAATTTTGTGTGTCTTCAGGTCGATTCGAGAATGGTTTAGATTGACAATTCGGCCCACTACAATTTTTTTTATTTATAAATTGTTTTCGCATTTCAGTCGTGTTTACAGGACAACATCTGTCGGGTCCGCTAGTATTATATAAAATCTTATAAGTACACCTTTTTATCTTTTACTATAATGGGTCAAAATTATTTTTAATAAATTACATTAATGGAACATTTTAAGTAGTTTTCGATGCAAAATTAGTAGAAATATCAAACGTGGGAACACCCTTACTTCATAGAATTTTTCCAATTTGAATTCACCAAGTATATCATTAATCTTATTAAGTATAGGCAACAAACTCTTCTTACTGAAATAATCGGCTTTAAGCGCAATAAACGTGCGCGTTTTCTCTTCGTTACAAAAGACTTCTATGTTATGAAATCCCAAAAAAAATCTGAAATAAAAATGATAAGTACATGTTATTCAAGTTCAGTGACAAATTATGGGGCCGGAGATTTTGTTAACTATTATTAGTATTACACTATATTTATTATTATTTCATTTTAATTATGTATTAATTTTACATTATTCATAATGTACATTATTGTATGTCTATTGCACGAATGGGCAGTCCCCTTGAAGAAAATACCATACAAGAATTTGGGAGCCTGTTGATGAAAAAGGTTTGTTGCAACAGCGGGTGTACAAATACCTCATGATAGAAGCGTTGATTGCATTTATCCGTAAAATTTTAAAGTTTCATATCAATGGTCAATTTAAATATGTATACTATTTCTATAAAATTAATACAAGACCTGATTTAAAAAGTTTTTCACGTTTAAGTATATTTTACCCATTTACGCTATTGGGCTGGGTCATGTCAATATTTCGTGTAGTCTCTATGACACGTTTTTTGTCAAATTCGGCAATATCGGCCTTCCTCCGGGGCGCCCCTGACGGAGAGCGCACGGGCCCCAGTGCACGCGCCCCGTGTTCCCTTATGGTAAAAAACGATACTGGTGACCAGGGTCACCTTTTTTAATGATTGTACTCAGGTGACAGCAGGTGTTGTAGATTAACAACGTAATCAGTTAACACCGGGTGAACCAACTGCTCGCCTGACAACTTTTAAACCTTTTTAACCCTTTTTAAAATATATTTTTGTGATCATAAATTTTTAAAACATTCAATTTAAATTAAGTAATTTTTTACTTATATTATTTTTATTTATCATAACTTTCATTTATTTTATTATGTGCCTGAATGTAGATCCACTCGCATAATTAACTTGTAATATGTTTAAACACTTATTGTCTGGACAAATTGACGACACAAGTGCGGCGCGATAAGTTTGCCGCGGGAGTGTGGTGTGAGTTGCCGTAGACATACGCTTTGTGGAAGCATTGACTAAGATATAGAGCGGCGATAGAAACGAGGAGGTTCGTCCAGTATTTATTTAAAAAACTTACTGTGGTAGGCCCACGCGACAGTTTCGGCTGTTGCATGAATGGGCAGAAGCATAGGGGGAAGTAGCACGGTCTCACATAAGTCGTAAAGTGAAAGTATTAAACTTTCGTGTTCCGTCTGGTGAGTGAGGTTACAAGGGCCCACTTTTCTAAAGATTGTCAACGCAGATTTGTCTTGCAGATGGCAAGCCGACAGATCGCTTGACAACTTTTCACCTAAAAACAGAAATGATAAGTCACCACGGTCAATTGCGTCCTACAATTTTTAACATACATCAACATTAATCGGTACATCGGCACATACACATTGATAAAAAGGATTCCAATATGTAGGTATCCAACCGAATATCCTTTGTAACCGTATCTTCAAATGGACAAATAAAAGTAAAATAGACCTTAAAATTTAAATTTGTAGAAAAAAGGAAAGAAAAGTTTTTCGCCGCTGTGGGAAATGAATGTTGCAAAACTTATATTGTTGTTGTTTGTTGTAAACCTTATTACAACTAAGCCTAAAGTATGTTGTTAAATGATATCGCCTTTGTATTGGTTTCGCCTTTGACACAAGTCGCCACTGCCGCGGGAGTAAATGTTAAATTCACAGCCCATTGAAGAAGCGACTTTAACAAGCACGGGACTTCAAAGAACCCCCCTCTCTTCCAAAAAAAGGAATTTTATCAACTCACCAGAATAAGCCACTTCTTTTACAAAGAGGTTTATGGCGCTATAGGGTTTATTAAGGGTGGTAGAGTCACGCAGCAGCCTCGGCTGTTGCACGAATGGGCAGGCTCGTCCGGGTAAGTACCACGACCTCACAAGACCGGCGTAAAGTGGAAGCATAATACTTTCGCGTTTCGTCTGGTGACTGAGGTGACTGCAATTTTAAAAAGGTTGTCAACGCATATGGAACCCTCGGGTGTAGCAGATGTCCATGGGCGGCGGTATTCATTTAACATCAGGTCAACTGTCAGCTCGTCTGGCAACTTTTCAAATAAAAAAAAATGGCATAATACATTTAATGAAGCAATATCATAATCGTTAATAAGAAAGCAGTTTTAATTTATTATAATAAAATTAAAATAAAATATTAATATTACCTTTCAGAATCATTTAAGGCCTCCTTTAAGCTTTGTGTAAATAATGCAATAGTGTGATAGTTCAAAACTACTGTTTTCGATAAGCTCAAATGGAAATCTTCACAAATATGACAAGTGCCTTTAAAATCCACCAATAAGGTTTTCAAGTTATTTGCTAATAGTAATAAAGATTTTTCATCTGGATCTGGAATCATTTTTCAAATATTTTGTAAATTATATTTAAATACTTTATTAAAAGGTGGCAACGAATCTGCAACACTATAGGTGGTGCAAATGTCAATGGGCAGCAGTTATCACTTAACATCCGGTGAACCGTCTACTCATTTGCCACCTATTCACATAAAAAAAATTATATTTTCAAATTAAATAGTGTGAAGTATTGGGGCCCCTATACACATGGCTCAGTTTCTTTGTTACTTTTCCATGACCAGTCAGCCATCAGTTGGTCTTTGTTTTAATAACTTTTATATTATCTTTAATGTTAATATTTTTACATAGACTATACAGGGAGATTTTTTGAGAAGTGCCCAAATTTACACAGGAGGTTCAGACTCGGTAGTATAATTGTTTAATGAAATAAAAAACAAAGTTTTTTTTTCCAAAAAAAATTCCCTAAAAAATTGAACTTGTTGACAATGTGGTAGTCATTCAAAATAATTTCTTAATTCAAATTAATTCAAATACCTAAATTTTACTGTGCACGAACTTGATGAATGATCACGCGTAAAATAAATGAGTTGCGCATAAATCACACACTTTTTGAGATAAGTTCAAATGAATGTAATTAATTACTTATGAGTGATAATAAATATTTATCATTATAACAAAATTAATGTCTAGAATTTAATAAAAAAAATAGATACACATAGAAAAGCCACCCTGTATACTAGTCGTTGAGACTACATCATTGAACATTTGGTTAGACTCACTATGCTTTAAGGATTTTATAAGGGCTGGTTGATTTTTATTAAATTACATGCAGTGCATGTAAAAACCCACTCATGAGCACAAATAATTTGAGATGAAGATATGCACAAGTTTGCTAGTTTCAGATTGCAGTTTAGGTAACCATAATTCTGTTTAGTTGAGGTCCAAATTATCAAAATTTCACAGAATCATCATCATCATCATCATTTCAGCCTGTTTGAGTCCACTGCTGAAAATAGGCCTCCCCCACAGACTGCCATGAAGCACGATCCTGAGCCACCTGCATCCATCGACTTCCCGCACATTTCACAGAATATTTTTATTAATATATGAAATTTTTACACAACCAAGCATAAATATTCTTACTCTCAGATCTCTCTTAAAATGTTAATTGTTTAGTTAGTTCCCATTGATAAACAATTTCCTTCCACAATTCTAATGACAGAAGAAAGAACCACAGGAATATAAATTATACTCCCAGTTTCTGAAACACTGATCACCATAGAAATGACCTAATGAGCTGTCAAATGTCACTTGAGTTACCAAAAGGATGATTAAATGTCTGAATTGATCAGAATGATTAAAACTTGTAAAGCTAGATAAGGATGACAGTTAAAATACATAAGAAGATGACCATAACATTCATCATTAAGGATATCATAAAAATGGGAATTAGAAACATCTATAACTTAAATCCGCAATCACTTTTTGTAATGCAAGTTGCCATTCCATTAGAAACAAAACAAACAAACTTACTATATTACAAAAAACTTGGTCATATGACCAAAATCATGCCTAAGTAAAAGAAAAGACTATATTTTTCTGTTCATTGTATTAGTTAAAACTTTAACATACATTTTTTTGAAAAAACGTCGAACGAAATGTGTGTGAAGCAAACTCAATAAATAATAATAAACAATTGAAATAAAATTAGATTTAGATTTATAATTACTAGTAGTAGCAGTAGAGTACAATTTAGAAAACATACATCTATGTTCCCTGCTAAAGACTCATTTGATATTGAAGATCAGATTATTCTCACTTACATTTTATATAAATGAATGTAGCCCAATTACCCCTCACATGTGGAAATCGTCTTAAACGTCCTTGGTATAGTTCAGGGTTATCAATGTGGTTTTCTTCTAATACTGTGACAATATTACTAAGATTAGGCGCTGGGAGTTTTGGCCTGTAAAGTAAAAAAAAAAATACTTTAACTTACTTTACTATAGATTTACAGTCGCAATAACTAAATAATAAATAGTGAATGCACAACAACTCACTTTAAGTCTGACTTATTGTTCTCGATTTCACAATCATCAGATGATTCAGATTCATTTCCATAATCACAAATGTATAACAATCCAGACATTAGCTTACAAATAACACCACTATTTAATCTTTCGGAACAACCAGGGTTTTTACTATAAATCTAAATTTACATCGATACACAGATTCACAGATCACAAATATCAAAACGTTATATTTATATAACCCAAAAGAGTCGTGATCGTTATTTAAAATATCGTATCGTATCCATCAAATTAAACCAAACTACCTATATTTCACTATAAACATAGGATACGCATTTACGATTTTACACAATAACAAAGCAGTTTATAATGCACAGTCAAAGGATGTCAAATCAAACGTATTAGTCATTTTATTCTCTTCTTTGGTCAATGAGAATTAAAAGTATAAAAGTAATCTTTGAGAACATGAACATTTTTTTTTAATTTTTATTAATTCATGACCAACTGTAAAAAAAATACTCCTAAAGCAATTCGAAAAACCCACTATAATTCACTAGATCCAAGCCAAACGTCCTAAATGAGAAATATTTAGGAAGTTTTGCATTGAATTTATCGCCTAAATACTGCACTACTTGCAAGGAAATACCTGGTATCAATACCTGGTAACGTAAATACGCACTATCTGTAGCATCAGGTGAACTCTCTGCTCGTTTGGCAACTTTTTAATTAAAAAAAAAGAATAAGAGAAAATACAATTATCATTGACATGAACCCCAGTGATATTAGTAACAAAATAAAACCTAATTGTAGATTTATTACCGTTCATAATCATATGACGTACCTACATTAAAATATAATAATCGACAAATCGCCGTACTAACGTCCTATATATCAATCGTGGCACGAGTTTCCACATTCCACGTTTCACATCAGAAAATAATTTGCTACCAAATAATAATAAAAGTAAAATAAGACATAGAATATTATAAGTATTCTAAATATATAAGTATTAATTTATATGTACAAATGTATTTAAAAAATAATAAAAATTACCTTGAAATCTGCCAAATTCTGCCACTTTTTTGAATAGCCTAATCTGCCATAGCTAAAATTTATGTGCAAAATGGTCAAATGGTAGAAATCTGCCACTTACGGTCACACTGTTCACCTGTCAATTATCAGTATTTGTCAAAATTGACGATATGTTTTTTCATTCTATGAAGTTAGAATCTCATCAATAAAGAAAAGAAGAAGAACGTCAATGAACAATGAAACAGTTCTTTTGTGAACAGTCTTGTGGAAATTCAAAAAATAAATAGGTTACCCAAATTCATTTTAGAATTTATCATATATCAATAGGAACATTACAATTTTAATTCTTAGTTTTTTGAGATAATATAGTTACAATGACTAACAACAGTCATTTAAAATATGAAGACACAGTTCAGTGCCTTTTTTTCTTGACATCACATGGACATGTGGACTTGGAAGATTTTTGTCGAATCTTGAATGAAACTGCCAATGAATTTGCGAAAGACTACATTTGGCATCGTGACAAATTTAGAATTACCCAGCCTGTGTTGGAAGCTACCTCTGGTATATTGTTTATTCTCATAAGTAAAACACTTAATTCCTTAAGTAAAACACTTAAACACAACTTAATTCCTATTCCTAGTATCTGAACGATAATAGTATGCTTGATTAAAAAAGAATGCTCACTGATTAAAAAAGAATTTGGTAAATGTAAATAACTTTAACTCCGGCGTAATTCAAATCAAATAAATTTTAAACGATAGAGAAAACTTAATATGGCAAAACCATCAACATGCTATAAAAACAATAGTATATTCTTTAAAACTTTAAGAAGTAAATCTGTGAGACCATGGATAAGTCTTTCAAACGTAACTTAAAACGAACAAATGTAATGCATGTAACTGCTAGTTAATGTCTCTTGAAGTGACTGTATAAACAAGTATTTTACATTATAGATTTGCCGCCTTACCTTACAAGCATAACATGTTTTGGAGATAATATTGAAGATGAATGGTTTATAACATACTTAGTATTTAAGCTAACTGAAAAGTATGAAAACTTAATAGTGCAAATTGAAGACAATGATGGTGATTTATTGTTAATTGAAGCTGCTGACTTTCTACCATCTTGGGCTAATCCCGAAACTACTCAGAATAGAGTAAGTTAATTTCTTTTATTTAAACATTAAGTATTTATTTTTTTATATAAATGAGGAACTGTTAGCCGTAATAACTCAGTGTCCAGTCACCTTAAATTTAATATACTCAAGCAACCTGAGTTTTAATCCTTGGTGCCACCACCAATGAAATTGTCAATTTTAAGTGCTGAATTATCATATGCTCAGTGGTAAAGGAAAAGATCTTGAGGAAACCTGCATATTTTGGAAACAATAACAAAAAAAATATTTCTAAGATATGTGAAGTCCGCCAATCCGCAGTGAGGCCGCGTGGTGGACTATACCCTGATACCCTCTGTGCAGAGTCCTTTGCCCCGCAGTAGGACATGTATAGGCTGATACTTTACTTTTACCTTAAGGAAATGTTGTATTTAAATCTATAATCTAATAATCTATCTTATATTAGAGATAGATTATTAGATTATAGATTTAAATTATAGTAGGATGTTGCAGGTTGAAATTTGTTAAAATTTTAAATCTTCTTGGTATAGTGAAATTTAAACTTACTAATATTATGGATTTTAATCTGAATAAAACAATTTAAAGAAATATTATATCAAATATTAATATAGAGAATATTGGATTCCTCTGGGGTTGGAAAGTAGAAAGTTTTCATTATTTACATTTATGATATAAATGTAATAGTGTTATTAAATTACTTTATATTATTTTTCAGGTATTTGTTTACAAAAACCATATTCATCTTATTCCTCCAACTTTAGCTGATTTAAGAAAACCTTTGGAATTAAATGATGCAATAAACCTACTTATAGATAACACAGAAGAAACAAAAGCTGATGGTCAAATAGAACATGCTATTTTGGACAGGATAAGTTCTTATCCCAGTCGAATAAAAGACCTTTTTCATAGAGCCACAGTAACCATTCCAATTGAAATAGCTGCCTTACTAATAATTAATCCAGCACTTGTGTCAAACCTTGTAAATATGTATTGCAACCATGATGACATGGATAAAAAAAAAATTCCGAAGATAAAATTTGACTGTTGTGTTGATATCACTATAAACTTTACAAAATTTCAATATGCAATGCTTTTGCATTCTAAGCCAATTAAGAACTATGTTGGTAGAATTGCTTTATCAAGTAAAGCAATTGAAATTGGGTTTAAGTTAGCATTTGCTTTTGAAATAATAATGAATGAATCAAAAAAAGACAAATTATCATCAAAAGAGTTTCAAAAGTTTATGGCCAGTTTAGTCAAAAATGATTACTTTAAAGGCAATATTGAAGGGTCTAAAGATTATAAAGTGTTACTGGAAAAAGCAAATAAATATTATATGGAGATGGAAAGTCCTTTAAACTCTCATATTTCAGAAAATATATCACAACTTATGACCTCTGATGAATATGTTAAAATAAAGGAATCATTAACATTTGAACCCAATTTATATTTATACAATGAAGATAGTGATAAATGGTTAAATGTGGATCCCGATAAATTAGATGATTTATTAAATAGAAACTACAGAAAGCAAGTCCAATCTGAAGACCTTATCACACCCAGTGTTGTTACCTCAGGATTAACAAATTTTCTTTCTCAAAGGTCTGATTTTGCAGGTGTAGAAGAAAATCAAAGTTCATGTTTTGAAAATGGTACCATCAAATTTGATGTAGATCACTTTTTTGAGGCTGTTGAAAATATGTTGAACAAAGTTACTCTGAATTTAAGTGATGAAGATTCTAGTGATTTTAGTGACAATGATGTTGAGGATGATGAATTTGTACTTGCAGAAAAACAACTGGACAAGGAGCTTGAAGAGAAAATGTGTAACGATCAACTTAAAAAATTAAAGGAAGACTCTCATGTTGTAGCAAACTTAAAACAAAGTATGAAAGAAGAGGGAATGGTTGGACCCACAAGCAATATTTTAAGATCAATTGGTGTAAGTAAAAGTGAACTATTAGATTCTGATGACGACATTGAATAATATTTAAACATATTTGTATTATAGTTCATAAGTAGTTCAGGAATAAACTTTACGATTTATCTTATTATGCAATAAATATCGTCATAATTTGAAGCCCTACTTTTTGTCTTTGTTAATATTGAGGTCAGAAACATACTAGGTAATCAATATCTCCTGTAAGGTCAATAACGATGACTAAGGTTTACAAGTAATTAAATTAAAACTTAGTTTTAGTAGTAGTATAAGTGTAATGCAATAAACTTCTTTATTGTTTAATTTATGAAAAGTGATTTCATTAATTAAATCTGTGCTGCCAAAATTCCAACCTGCATCTTCTCTTTGCGTCCAGGCACTTTAGTCAACTGAGCTAAGCGCTCAATATTCTTATAGCGCGAAAATCTCGACATTTATGAAATTGAAATAATTAGCAATGCTAGTGGCGCCATCCTAGTGGGCAACTTTACAGTATGCCGTCTTTCAAATAAAAATTTACAATGAAAGTTGGAATGAGTAGTTGGGGTAACTGTCCTAATTAGTAACATCATTAAGACGTCAATAATCGAAGCAAATCTAGTGGAACCTCCTTCATTTTCCCCAAAAACAACGGGAGAACACAAAGGGTCATCGAAAGTTCTATCATTTCTATTATTCTATCATACATATCTGATAATAACTCCTCGACTTATCTCCCGCATGCAAATGGAATCCGGCAAGTTTATTGTTGATTCGGTTCGCATATCAAATCAATACGAATAGACAGTATCGATTTTATGTGTAACTAAATTAGTTCTTCCATTGTCCTCACGTCCTCACCTTTAGTTGGAGAAAATATTAGCGTAACGCAATATTTATCTTTTGTTATCTTTATCTTTGATAAATCATTCTTGCTGTATATAGACATTAAATAACGACTACATCAATACTGACCAATTTTTCATTATCAACAAGATATAGTTGTTTAGGCTACAAAAGGGTGTCATGGAACGTCTGGTTTGTGTACTTTAGGTTTTTTTTGCACATGAAGATGTCATGGATTTCATGTCTAGATTTAACTTTTTAATGAGGTCGCTGGTCGATTTAAGCGTATTAGCTACTTTTTTATAACACTGCAGCAGTAATAAAAGCATTAACAAATAACCTCTGTAATAATCTTTTTATGCGTTTATTATAAATACGTATAAAACAAAACATTAGATCCCAAAACCATATTTATACCAGTTGAAATTATTTATTTAACAGTTAAATTAAAGCTGATTTAAAGATGTGCGTAGGCGCCTCCAGCAACGACCAATGTTTCCCCAGTGACATAGCTGGCATCATCAGACACTAAGAATGCTACAGCGCCTGCGATTTCATCGGGTTTTCCAAATCTTTTCATCGGAACTATGGATAATGACTTGTCCTTTGCCGCATCACTAGTTGTTATCTGTAAATTGTAAAAAAAGTAAAATAGCAAATACTTATCCTCCTTACTAATATTATAAAGGCGAAAGTTTATTTTACAAAGGAAATTTACAAAGTTTGTATGTATGGATGGATGGATGTTAGTTACACTTTCACGCAAATACGGATTTTAATGTAACTTTACAATAATATAGCTTGTACATCAGAATAAAAAATAAGCTATAATTTATATAGATATTTTTATTTATTTTCTTTTTCTTTCTGTCTGAATATTACGCCATCAGCCTATTCTACGCGCCATCAGCCTATTCTACGCTGACGTAGTCGCAGGCAGCAGCTAGTCCTTACTAATATTATAAACGCGAAATTTTAATTTACAAAGGAAATTTACAAAGTTTGTATGTATTGATGGATGTTAGTTACTCTTTCACGCAAATACGGATTTTAATGAAACTTTAAAATAATATGGCTTATACATCAGAATAAAACATAAGCTATAATTTATATTCATATTTTTATGTATTTTCTTTTTCTTTCTGTCTGAATGTTACGCCATCAGCCTATTCTACGCTGACGTAGTCGCAGGCAGCAGCTAGTCCTTACTAATATTATAAACGCGAAAGTTTGTATGTATGGATGGATGTTTGTTATTCTTTTACGCAAAAACTACTGAATCGATTATAATGAAACTTAACAATAATATAGCTTATACATCAGAATAACACGTAGGCTATAATTTATAAAGATATTGCGTGAATTGTCCAATACATAACAATAAGTGTCAATTAAGTAGGAAATAATTCAGCCATCTTCGATATATTCTGCTGGAAAATAAAAAACTCATTCTTAATTCCCTCAAGCCGCGCGGGCGAAGCTGCGGTTAACTGCTAGTAGCAAATAAAAAGAAAAGCAATAACAGCAGTGGGTTTTGTAAATTAATAGACCACATCAATTTGCATGTTGGTACCTGGTAACGTAAATACGCACTATCTGTAGCATCAGGTATCATCATTTGAATAACTTTGCTGGTTATAGTAGAAAGGATTCACCAAAATACGAGATATAGTCGACGCGGTGTCGTTCCTATGACAATATTTTTTTGGAGTCTATTATACAGTACAGTGAATTTAAATTCAATTTGGCTATTAACTGAAAGAGTTCAAGAGCACTAAGAAAAAATCTCTAGGATTTTGGCGTCCTATTGACGAATGCCTAATTTAACACCTTTCAGTCTTAATCCGGGGCCATCCATACAATTATATGATTCGAATGTGTGCATGTGTAGCGATATCTATAGCTTGACATAGCATAGAATTCAACATGAAGGTGGCAACCGAGCTGGTTCACCTGATGTCAAATGATAGTCCCCGCCCATGGACATGGGGTTGCAGATGCCACATTTTAATAAAGTAGGCCCCGGCTACCCCACTCAACAGAAGCAACAAACGCACAAAGTATAACACTTCCACTTCACGCCGGTCTTCTGTGAGGTCGTGGTACTGAAACGGACGGACTTGACCATTCGTGCAACAGCCGAAGCAACTGCTTCGGCGTAGCCCTACCACAGGTATGTATATATAGCGTCTACGTTCGGGAGACACTTTTTTTTATATAGAATGGGACTGGAATACACTACAACTCTTTTTTACTAGAACTCTTAGACTAAAAATTTTAATGGACGTTACTTAGAAAGACTGCCTCCCAAATAACTCTGTTTATGATGACACGCAGTTCCCTGGGAGCACAAGGGGACGATTGAGGTGGCTTCGTTACGTGTATCCACCCAACGGGCTCACTTGCCCCGGAGAATTCTGTTCGAAGCGCTCTAATAGGTCCGTCATCTCGCCAGCGCCGTGATATATAGATTTAATTGAACGTTAAACGTGTCGTGGTTGTTTTCCTTATCAATCAACTGCTAGCCTAAGGACGAGTAAATGTACGTCGCCTTATCCACGAAGGTCAATTAAGGCACGATTGACCTTCGTGGCCAACTCCAGTCTTTGAGAGCATACAATTGTCGCGAGTGCGAGGGATCTTTTGTCATGTCGTCACTTTAGTCACGAAAGAATATCAACGCGATGCTGCTTTAATCTTCTGCACAGATGCTAGTTCTTAAAAAGGGTAACGAAGTTAAAAACAAAACATATAACTTACCGCAGAGGCAAACTTCGTGCTCACAATACCTGGCGCCACGCAATTAACACGTATATTGTCATGCACAACCTCGTAAGCAATCGCTTTTGTCATACCGAGTAATGTAGTTTTACTTATGCTGTAAGGACCTAAAGGCTGAAAAACATATGTATCTGTTAGATTCATCTTCCACGCAAAGAAATAAAATTGATTCATCTACTATATAATAACGTTTATCTTTTTTTTTAATATACTATATAATAGAATACATTTACAAGTACATTTTTCTAAATTTTTCTAAAAAAAAACGATTAACTCCGCCAAACTGAGGATACTGTTTATTGGCGAAGCTGCACTCATTTAATCATCATCAATTCGATTTTAATACTTATCTAAAATAAATTTAAAACAAAACATATTAATTAAAAACTAAGTACACTTATCAATTAATTATTAACAAAGCTATAAAATAAAGAAAATTAATAATTTAAATTAAATTAATAAAGTTTAATAAATACCATTAATAAAATTAAATATTGGGCTATACAGATCGTCGATGGCATTCAGTAGCCTATATTTCAATTTTGTTTTTAAAAATTTCTTTGGTCAGACAGGCCTCTTGTGGCACGTTTTCAATGAATATTCTTGGCACTAAATACCTACGCATTTTTACCCTTCATCAAAGTAGTTTTGCGCACGTGGTTACTTATTAATTTACGAGTATTCTTTATTAACTTGCCATAAATTGATTTCCTAACTATACACCTTTGTATCCTTCAATTGCTAATAGATATCCTGTTTTTGGTTCACGTAATGGTAGAATACTGCATTTCTTAAATAATAAATGTAGTTACCCTTACTTTTCTCTTTAACTTGCTTATTAACTAACAGTTTAATAAATCTTAATTGGACGTAATGTAATATCCATGTACGTCCGGAACGTACGTCTATAAGCTGAAAGGCCGTAATAAATTACAGAATCCACGAGAGCGTAGTACAGAATGCGTAGTTCTTTTATCAACTACACAATAACGATTTTAATTTACATACACATTCCATATGGAAATTCCAATTAAACTTAGTATCTATGGTTAACCCTAGATATTTGTAATTATCAACAAGCTCAATCGATTTACAACCAATGCATTGTTTATTTCGATGCAAGCAATCATAAGAATGACCCATGATATTTATAGGTATACTTGATTTATGCAGTTATGTCGATTGAATGAGCATGCATTTCGTTTTTTCTATTTATTTTTTTTATGTGGCAAAGTGGCAAACGAGCTGGCGGTTCACCCGCTGTTAAGTGATAACCGCCACCCATGGACTGTGTTGGCTGCATTGGACATCAGGTCAAGGCCTATGTGGTAATATTTTAAATTCTTTCGCCCTAAACTATAAAAGTGAATATTTTATGTCTTAGTCAAGATGTAAAAAAAAACTGTAACCGAGGATTAAAATATATTAAAGTTATTAGTAACCACAGTTATTTACTTATTAAGCATATTTATTATATTTTATTAAGCAATATAAAATTACAAAAGATGATAAAACTGTCGTCGAAATTGTGCAGTCATCTTGCACTTTTATTAACCGAAATCAATATATTTCGGTTTTGCATATCTAATACTGCATGAAATACTTACTCATTTCGAATTCTCATCAAATTTGATATGAGTCAAGTAGCCGTATGCAGTGTTTCTAGATACACACAAATTCTCTTAACTATCATTTTCTCCACTATTTTATTAAAAACAGACAATATTGCAATTGCTCTATAGTTTGAATAAGTGCATTTTTGCTTTGATCCTGCCCTTATTCCATCAAAACCTGCTGATTTTTTACTATTTAGTTGACTAATTATTTTTTTAATTCATTTTCGGTTACCTTTTTATAATAGAAAAGTAGTATCAGTCGATTTTACATAAGACTCGCGATTAAGAAACTTAATGTTACATTGACGATGAGGTGTATTATATCAATTTCTTTTGTAAATGTTTCTGAAAATTTTGATATATGATCAAAATTTTCAGTCGCTATCGATTTTTCCTAGATACTTAATTACTACCATCTAAGCTATTTTTACTATTACCTAGCTAGCTATTTATTGCTTCCCATAATTTCCTAGTCTCCTTAAAAGCGTGATAGTTCCTGCCTTCTATAATTATTTTAAGCTTTGTTAATAATTTTATTTTTTGCTTTCATGTTTCGTATATTCTAAACTATAAGTAACATTTCGTTTAATCTTTCGTTTAGGCTATTCGTTAATCGTTTCGTTTAAGTTTTTTTTTTGATAATTTTTCAAATTTTCGATCGAACGATAAACAAACTTATGTGACAAAGACAAAATGTTTCTAAGCTACTGGATAAATTAAGAAGGTAATCCCCGAATATTAACTACACTTAAAAACCTGTTTTTGTACGATTAAAAATATGTATACCATCATAATAGTAGGGGAGCCCAAGCGGGGATTTCAGTATTTACTCGATCGCAGTATATTAACATAAAGGTATTATATACATATATACATATTTGGTGGAGGTACTTCACGTTGTACCCGGTGAAGTACACTCCACCAAATATGAGCCCCATATACAGCGTGTCGTTACCACCGCGACAATAAATGAACACACGTCTAACGCTACTTGCCAATAATGATAAATAAATATTAACGTTAAAAAAATCCATAATTTAAAAAAAAATTTTTTCAAACAAACTAATTAAGTAAAGAAACAAAATTTGTAACACCTATACAACTACAACTGACTGATTCATACATTCAGAGACTTTTCTTGTATCTTGTATTAACTGATGTTTTTGCTTTCAGTACCTATTAAAGCTTCATCTGACGCAGAACCGGTGGGCTAGCCAGAACCCACGGGTTTAGGCCCTCCGCTATGGATAGGGCTGCGCATATGCTCATGCGTGTGTTTAAGTATGGTATGTCATCTAAGGGCCATCGAGGTCGCAGTTCGGACCGAAACCTGGATGGCCGTCGACTGTGCAATTAGCTAATCGGTGGCTGGGAGCGGTGAGAACCGTTCCGGAACGCGGGTGTACCTTGTGTACGCGTTGTGTTGGACCCGCCGTGCTCGGAGGCGAGGGCGAACTAGTGTGTTTGTTGTTGCACTAACTGTGGGTGTAGTGTTATCCGACGGGACCCCCGGCGGTGGGTCCGTCGTATCTAAGTCCCCTTCCTCGAGCTGGTCGATTAGGACGTTTCGCGGGCGACGCTTGTTGACGTTCGCGTTTGTGTCGGGTTGGTAATTTGCTGCGCTTACCACCGGAAGGTTGGGATGATGTTCGGCTCTATCGAAGAACCGTTTGGTCGGGTCTTTAAAATATTCGCGAATCGTCGGGAGTCTGCAATCGCTGTGCAGGTCGACGTTGCGTTGATACCACTGCGCACCGGTTGCGCGGCGGATGAACTTATTTTGTACTATTTGCAACTTGTACAAGCGAGTAGGGTGCGTGTGGGCGAAGGTCATGCATGCGTAGGACATAATAGGTCGTACGCAGGTCTTATATAATAATAATTTGTGCCTTAGGGGCATTTTACTTTTAGCATTAGTTAAATTGTGTAGCCGGCCGGAGACGAACGCGGCTCTATTGCGAACGTTATTAATGTGCGTAGTAAATGACATACGCGAGTCGAAAGTGACTCCTAAATATTTGACCTTTTTCTCCCAGGGGAGCGGTTGGCCATAAAGGGATATTTGCCCCAACTTTCTGCATTGACGAGGGCCATTATAAAGATGTGACGGGTAAGTACTTCGTGTGAATTGAATCGCCAAACTCTTTTCGAGATTTATTTCTATTCTCCATTTGCGAAACCAATCGCCGAGGCGGTCGGCGGCGCTTTGGAGTCGAGTGGTTAGTTGTCTAAGGTCTGAATAAAAGAGCGCCGTGTCATCCGCGAAAAGCGCGAGATTGACGTGGGGGTCTTTAGGTATATCGCTCGTGTAGAGCATAAAGAGTAAATGTGAGAGGCAGGAGCCTTGTGGAGCGGGTGCTTTCAACTCGATATCGAAAAGAGCGGTTCGACAGGAAGGCCCGGATGGTGTGTATGAGCCTATCAGGCACTTGGATTGTGTACAGCTTGTAAAGCAAGCCGTTGTGCCAGACCTTGTCGAATGCTTTTGCCACATCGAAGAAAAGAGCCCCTGTACTAATATGTTTAGGGTGATTTAGGCCTTTTAGGATATGTTCCGTTAGGCGGAATAGTTGGTCGGGACAGGAATGTCTAGCTCGAAAGCCGAATTGTTCCGCCGGCAGAAGGCCATTGGAAAACACGTGCTCATTGAGCCTGTTTAATAAAAGCCGCTCGTAGAGCTTCCCCAGGCAACTGAGGAGGCTGATGGGACGATAACTAAAGGGCTGGTTGCCTGGTTTATTAGGCTTGCGAATGCCGATAACCGTGGCTTCTTTCCAGTCGTCCGGAAAGGAGCAACTGGAGAGTAAAGTATTGTAAATGGTCGCCAGTAAACAGATAAGCGGCCCAGGGAGAGCTTTAAGAATTTTGTTACTAAGATTATCTGGGCCCAGGGCGGATTTGGGTTTTAAGTTTTTAATAATATCTTGGACTTCTTCGGGGGTCACAGAACTCAAACGATCGCCTTCCGGTGGAAGCGCAGCCCTAATCTCGATTACGCGGTCCACCTCCGTTAGGCGGGCTATATCGATGTGTTCGCGCGATGGCGTACATTGCTGCTCTAGGTTGTCCGCAAGGCATTCGGCTTTTTCGGAGTCATCTAAGGCTACTGAAGCGAGTATAGGTCTAACTAACGGCGGTAGAGATTCGCGGGGGTCTGCTTTCAGACTGCGGGCCAACCGCCAGTAGGCGGTGTGCGACGGCTCGATGTCCTCTAGGAGAGTGTCCCAGGTTGTATATCGGTGTTCCGATACACGATCTTTGTTCTTCAGCGGGGGTCGTTTCGACCTCCATGTCCGAGCCGTCGTCCGATTGTGAGTCGGGAACGACGGCGCGGAAGGGGGCCGAGATGGGATGCGCGGAAGGCGCGATGGGTACGATCGCGGCGGCGGAGTACGACACGACGGGCATTTCTTGTGTCGCTGAAGGCGACGCATTAGCGGGCGCAGAGGGCACCGGAGATGACGGCGATGCGACTGCCGGTGAAGCCGGGCTGCCGCTGGCGAACTCGACGACTAAACATTTTTCTTTCACGAACGCGAGAAAGTTTACCCACACTTCGGGACATCGTTGTCGAAGGAATTCCTCTAGGAGGGAACCCATTTCGAGCGCTTGAGCCTTTGGGGCTTGCGCCCCGCAGGCGTGTAAGTTACTAAATAGGCCTCCCCACCTTGCGGCAGGGAGGTATGTGCCTAAAACTAACAACTAATCCGCCTGCGCTTTAAGTGCGCTAGGGTGGGTACCTAGCTGTCGCCTATCACAACGAGCACACAGTTATTAAATAAAACAATGCCGCCTCTGAGGCGTATAGAATTCTACTTACAGAACAGGAACCTGCCTACGAGCACAACAGTACACTAACACTAAACTACTGCACTGCTTGCACAAAGATTTAAATTACAACCGAAGTTGCGAGTAGCGTCTAATTCGGGTGGCATTAGCCCTCCGTCTTAGAGAGGTCCGTTCCGTACGAGAGCACGAAGCGGAATTGGTGCATTCAGAGACTATTTCATTCGTTGCCACAGCGTTGCATTACAAGCCTCTCTTCCAAACAGTACGTTTTATCTCTTTTTAATTCATTGAACCCATTCGTATGCTTTGTGACCTTTACAAATGAAATTAACGTTACAGTTTTATGCGTAAGGATGTTCTAAAAATTGTTTGTTTTGGAAAATTTAATAACTCGTTAAATATTGATGTTTAAAGAATGTACATGTTTAATACAATTTTAAAAAGTTATCCTCTCAATCATTTCTTTTCAAATTGTGGGGCGCGCCCCCCTAGTGGGGCGTAACAACATGTAAAAGGGGGCGCACAGCCGCGGGACAAACGCATACCACCACCCCCGCCAGTCGGTCAGTTTTGTTCGGCTGGTAAACATTATACGTGTTAACGTTAACGCAAAAATAACGTTAAGTTTATACCTTTTATTTCGTCATGAGTTCGGCAAAAAAACGTAAATATAATGATGATTATATTAATTACGGTTTTGTTGTTATAAAAAAAGGTGATATCGATCATCAGCAGTGTGTTATTTGTTATGAGGTATTGAGCAATGACGCCATGAGACCCTCTCGTCTGGAACATTTGTCAACAAAACATAGCAGTTTAAAGGACAAGCCGAAGGAGTTTTTTGCATCAAAATCTGTGAGCTTGAAACGTTTGAAATTGGATAGTACTAGATCTTTTGCGAAATCATCCGAGAAAGTGCTTCAAGCTTCTTATGAACTATCGCTTATCATCGCAAAGTCAATTCAAAAAGTTATTAAACCTTGCTTGTTAAAGGCAGCTGATATCATTCTGGGACCAGAAATTAAACAAAAACTTTCGCAGATACCCCTCTCTGACAATACTGTCAAACATCGCATTGATAATATGGCTGAAGATATAAAAAACAAGTAGTAGAGGCCGTGAAAGAATATATATTATATAGCAGCGATATAGCACAATGTTGTTTTTCACAACTTTTAGTTTTTGTTCGATACATTCAAAACGAAACAATAAACAATGACAAATGAGAATTAATAGAAAGGTGTGCAAAGTTAATAACATTTTTGCGTGTCATCGATATCAATATGGGTATAAATATATCGATATCAATATGGATTTAATAAAACAACACTATTTGTGTGGGCGAAGTCGACGCCATTTTAGAGAAACATTTGGCTTCAGCACACGTGACCTAACGTGACATCCTCTTGATATATTCTTTTTTTTACCCCCTACCTACTATCAAATGAGTTAGAAAGGTGGCAAAGTTAATAACATTTTTGCGTGTCATCGATATCAATACGGGTATAAATATATCGATATCAATATGGATTTAATAAAACAACACTATTTGCTGTGGGCGAAGTCGACGCCATTTTAGAGAAACATTTGGCTTCAGCACACGTGACCTAACGTGACATCCTCTTATATTCTTTTATCAATGGTTGGGATACTTAGCTAGCCCATTGATTTCGTCTTCCTTGCATCGAAGTGAAGGGGAGCGTGGGCATTTCTATTGTAAGCAGCAGGGTGGCGGTAGAAAAATACTTTGGGAACACCTGACTCAATATGTATGTTCATTTATTGTCGCAATTGTAAAGACACGCTGTATAAGGCCGCCCGTCAAGGATAAGGGATCAGATTAGTAAAACAAAAATTGATCATCAAAAATTCTCGAGCGCGTCAGATTAAGGTTGGGTGAGTTAATTACATGCTAAAAAGTGTATATTCCACCTTATCTGACAATTTGAGAGTGACGTAAAGAAAGGGGAGGGCTACAAAGTTAAAAAAACGTTATCTCGACATTCTCGAGCGTAGCTCAATTTTTAGTATTTTGAAGGAACGCACGCACGCACACATACACACACAGTTTTTTTTTAATTTCACCACGCAATGCCGTAAATCGAATATGTAAACATTTTAGAGTGGGTTCTCACGATACAGGCTAGGCCTAGTGTGAGGACCAAAAGTTACATCTTGTTTTGTTTAGTGCTGCAGTCCAAATGTTTCTGTTAATTTGAAAATTGGAAATTCTTATATTCAAATGTATATTGTTACTTTGGACTTTAACAAACTTTATTATTAATAATTCAAGGATAAGGAATAATATATAATCTGACGATTTCCACACGCCGAAGTTACAAAAATTAGTCGATAAAGTTTAATGCGTGTAGCTGCGTGGTGCTTATATACCCCTCTCCACGTTTCTATTCCTCTCTCTTTCTTTCTCTATCTATTACTCTATCTCTATCTGTTGTCATGATAATTAATTAATCAATTAATTAATTATAAAAAATATATTTTTTTAGCATTTATTGAATTATTTTCTTATAAATACACGTATTCTACTTAAAAAATACAATTTTTCATTTGCATGCTATTTCCTGACCTTTTCAATGAATAAAGTTCAATCATGAAGTTAAATCTGACATTTTTTTTTGTCAGATTACGTGTATCATAATCGTCAGATTATGAGACAGCAGGACGTAAAGATGAACCATATATACATATCTTAATCTGATGCGCTCGAGTATGTTCAACAGCAACAGTATTTTTTTACATATTTGAACATCTATAGGCGCTCTCCCCACCGATGAAAATGTATACATTATATAACATTTTCTTCTTCTTATCAACTAAGCTTTGCAAGGTCTCTATGACGCTCAAGTAAATCCCCATTTAACATACTATAATATTATAATCTTGTCACTGAATCACTATGCTTTCATTTGTTTTACTTTACGTTTCCAATGAGTAGTTGCTTTAATTGAATCAATACTTGATACAATAAAACTTACTTCCATAGGTTGATAGCCAGCGATTGAAGCCACGAAGACAATACTTCCACCCCCCCTTTTCATCAGTTCTGGATAAGCTTCTTTGGCTAAAAGCCATGAGCTTTTAACATTAACATCGAATATCTTATCCCAAACTTTTTCATCTGTCTAAAAATTATAAATGCTCGTTAATAACTAGCGGCAATAATTCTTAAATGTATACAAAAATATATTTGTGTGATAGTCTCCTATGCAGCACATTCAGTATCTCAGAACATCATTCATCCGATTTAATTTAAACTTTATACAACTGTTTTCATAAATTTATGCAACTTTAATGAACAATATGACAGTAAGTGAGCTAGAGCTATATTTTAAAATGGCCGTAAGAGAGCTCACGAACATTTAAGTGTTATGCCATAAAAAAAAAAGTTTCGCCTGTGCTCAAGTATTGTTCCAGATATACAACCCTCTGATTGTTTTCAGTATTTTACATATTACTAGCTTTTTGCCGGCGGCTTCGCCCGCATGTACTACATTTTATATCGTGCTTAAAAGGTACCTACGGAATCCCTCTCGTGCGAGTCCGACTCTCAACTTTAAATAAAATATCATACAATCATGATCATTTTAAAAACGATAATATATAGTTAATCCATATAGCTATTTTAATAGCTCTATGGTTGAAATTATAGCTAAATTAAAAGCTATTTTATGTAGCATTTTATCGCACAAATCTTTAATGCGGTTCTTTAAGTTGATATAGGTATAACTTTTTTTTTATTTATGAACCGATTTAAATGAAACTAACACTAAATATTAAGTGAGGCTTAGGAAAATGCATTAGTGAAAATGGCACCTGAATCGGTTAAGCCTTTTCTGAGATTAGCGCGCACAAACGCGCAGACAAACAGACAAAATTAACAATATTTATATTTTTGGGTTCTACTGCGTTGTTAAAGCATAAAATAATTATTTTTCTCAAATATCTTCCATGTACAGAAAACGATCAGTTACATTTTTATTATAAGGGTATGTATCATCATCATCATTTCAGCCTGTTTGAGTCCACTGCTGAACATAGGCCTCCCCCATAGACTGCCACGAAGTACGATCCTGAGCCACCTGCATCCATCGACTTCCCGCACATTTGCACAGGTCGGCACTCCATCTAGTGGGGGGATCGTCCTACACTGCGATGGCCAGCACGGGGCTGCCACTCGAGAACCTTTCTTTCCCAACGGTTGTCGGTTCTTCGGTTCCACGAGCTATATGGCCGGCCCATAGCCACTTCAGCTTGCAGCTTGGTTCTACTGCGGATGTTTTCGTTACGAACTCTATCACGCAGAGAAATAACTAAAGAAATAAATTATATGTATAGATAAAGTTAAAAACAATTATAGTAGTTCCTGTACCTCCAATACCGGAGACACCGCTGGGTTTACAGCTGCATTCGAAACAAGAATATCAATGCCACCGAATTTCGATTTAGCCTATAAAAAAAATAATAAAAAACTTAACCAAGCACACTTACATAGTGTCAACTATATTTATATACAAGCACTAGCTGACCCGGCAAACGTAGCCATATATTTTGCCATATAACTTATTTGTAGGGTAGAAAAAAAGTTTGGGGTGGACCATACTTAACATTTTGGGGGATGAAAATAGATGTTGTCCGATTCTGTACCCTGGCCGATATGCACACAAAATTTCACGAAAAGCGCTAGAGCCGTTTCGGAGGAGTTCAATTTCAAACACCGTGACACGAGAATTGTATATATTAGATATAGATTTCAATTTTGCATTAAAAGGTTATGCATTTTGTGTTGCGAAAAAGGTGTTTTGTGTTTCTTGTTGGAAGGGAGCAAGCGGTTCAACCGCGGTGTGAAGCCAAAAAGATACCATAAAGACGGAGGGGGTCAGTCGGTAGAGGAGTAGCTCCCGTATTCCTTTGCAAAAGAGGCCTCGGCGGGGAGGGGGGGGGGGGGGGGAGACGAGTGCTGTAGAACGATGGGTCATCCCTCCTCACCGCGGCCTTACCATGTTGAGCGAAGGAGTCATTTTTTATTATTGCAGATTATCATTTTTATTATTTATTGTCGCGATGGTAACGACACGCTGTATATATATATATATATATATATATATATATATATATATATATATATATAAAGTACACTGGTAAAAGTAGAATCATAATGGAAATATTTTAAAAAGCACCCCGCGCTTTTCTGCAATAATAATTATGTGATAAAGTTGCAAACGAACTGGCGGTTCACCTGATGTTAAGTAATGACCGCCGCCCATGGACATTTGCAACACCCGTAGGGTTGCAACCCGTAGGGTTTAGACTTAGCTCAGCAGCTTTCGCGGTCAAAAAAATAAGACAGTTAACTGATGTTGATACGGCTCGCTTGGTATATTTTAGTTATTTTCACAGTATAATGTCTTATGGCATTCTGCTTTGGGGTAACGCGGCCGACATTAATACAATCTTTATCTTACAAAAGAGAGCTATTCGTGCAATTTACAATCTGGGCCCCAAAGAATCGTTAAGAAACTTATTTAAAGAGATAAAGGTACTGTTGCTGCTCAATACATTTTTGAAAATGTCTTGTATGTCCATATGACATAATAATGTTCATGATATAAATACTAGGAACAAAAATAAATTGATCCTACCCACAAGTAGACTCCGTGAAATAAGTAAATCTTTTATGGGACAATGTATACGTTATTACAACAAAATTCCAGAAAACGTTCAAAATGCATCAATAGCTAAATTTAAAAAAAATAGTAAAAGAACGTTTGTGTGTTAAAGGCTACTATAATATTAATGATTATTTAAATGATAACACACTCTGGTAATGAACTGATCGCTCCAGGCTCTTTCTATCGGAGTTCTTATATTGTATTTTAACGAATTTATGTCAAACTGCTTATTTAAAAAAAAAACCCCGCTGAGTTTCTTTCGCCGGTTCTTCTCAGTACAGTGGCTTTCTTTTCCGAACCGGTGGTAGTGTTTTGACTATCAATAAGTGAGTGTAATGCTCCTATGTTGAATAAATACATTTGATTTTGATTCTGATTTTGATTTTGATAATGCGTTACCACCTTTATATAATTTGGGCCCCAGCTACCTCACTCACCAGACGAAATGCAGAAGTGTAACACTTCTACTTTACGCCGGTCTTCTGTGAGGTCGTGGTAATTACCCGGACGGACCTGCCCATTCGTGCAACAGTGAAAACTGTTGCGTGGCACTTGAATTTTCTTAATCACACTATTCATAATTAAAATGAATTGATTTTTTTCTACTTTTTATATAGGTTATGTACAAAAGCGTGTTTTTTATTTTTTAATCACTGGCACAAGGATTAAGACACTGACGGCTATCAGATTTGGAAAATAGGTAATCCTGGAGGTCCTGATCAGGATAATGAGAAAAACTATTTAAATTATTGCATTGCATGGGTCTTCGACGAGTGTGGAAAGTTCGGGTAAATGTAAATAACTTACACGTTGGCGTAATTCAATTAAAATAATTTTAAACGATAGAGAAAAATCACTAATGAATTAATCAACAAGCAGAATTCGGTGGTCGCTTATAGTTTTCGAAAAAATAAATAATGAAATAATGTGATTTTCACTATAGAAATCCGCCACTTTTTTGTTGTCAATATGTCAATTCTGCTCATATTTCTGGGTGGTTAAGATTGGTGCGAGAGGGAGTGCACCGGCAGTTGTGTCACTGTAAGATTGGTACGGAACGAGAGAGTCCACACCGGTGGAATTAGTAAGGACTAGAGCTTTATTGAGTGGGCAGCTGTACTGTGTCTTTGTTAGCAACAATAAAGATAACCGTCGTTTCACTCCAATCCCGAACCCACAGCTCATAACCATACTAATATATATATACATATAAATAAACTCCTACCATAAAAACCTACTGAATACTTATTTAGATTAACATGATTTACTACATATATGAATCAATAAAATGAAATTATGGCTTCATGATTCCAATTAAAGAAAACTCACTTGCACTGAATAACTTGAAGTACTTACTGTTTCAAATAATTCCTTTCTTTGCTCTGCATTGCTGACATGACACACAACACCTTCTACATTGATACCTTCACTACGCAAAGTAATCACTGCTTTATTCACATTATCTTCTTTTCTACTACTGATGACTACAGAAGCACCTTCGTATCCCAATCTTTTTGCAATAGCAAAGCCAATACTAAAATTATAATTAAAATTATTAAAAATCTCCAAAATGACAGAACCCAATAAACAGTCTTGCCTAATTTACAAACAATTAACGAAAAACAAAACAGACTGTAAATATTTGGCTCTGTATTCATTTTATAATTAAATTTCAGGAGTTCCCTAAGTAAGTACCTCCGGAGCCCAAGATCCAATACCAATGAAATTAATTTAGGACCACATGTCAAGCACCAGCTTTCAAATAAAAAAGTATCATCAAAATTGGTTCACTCAGTCGAAAGCTCTGTGGTAAAAAAAACGTAAAAAGAAAAGATATTCGAATTGAGAACCTCCTCCTTTTTTGAAGTTGGTTTTAAATAGAATTCATTAGTACAAGCATAACATAATGTTATGAATATTTCATATAAAATAAATGTAAGTGCTTACAATAGTTACAATAGTTATATCCTGTAGCTTCATTATATAAAGTTAAATATTTTTTCAGCAATAATAAAATTTTGCACAAATTAGTTAAAAAAAAATATTTACCCATCAGAAGATGCAGTAACTACAGCTACTTTTCCCTTAAGTCTAGATGAATGAAATTGTTTTGCACTTGTTAAATCGTGATACAGAGTGGACATATTATTTATTTTACTGATGATTCTATTAGATATTAACATAACGTTCTATGATCAATTATTTTACGATATTTTACTATTCACTGTATTACAACAAAGTATATACGAATATTATTAAATACTCGCTCTGATTACCTAAGTAATTAATAGTAGCGATATTGAGTTTTAAGACGTAGTGATTATGTTCTTTTGATTTTTTGTTCAAATAAATTTCAAAGAAATTGTACTTTGTAATTTGTATTAATTACGATTACACCATATCTTATCAGTATTCACTTAACTCACTGCACAAACCAAACCAAGGAAATTTTAACTCTCACTCAGACTTTTACAGTTCAACTTTAATCTTCCATTTGAATTCCATGGACTTTAACCAAAACAATATCCTATTGTATGTTATCACTTATCAGTTATGCACCAAAGAGAATGTAATCCGTGGTCAAACAAAAGTCAAAACGATGAAAGTCCCTGGCAGTATTGCCAACGTACAGTGGTGAGTGGCGGGCCTAAAAATATTTCTAAAAAAATTACCTCAAACAAAATTTCTATTGTAAATATGTACTGTCTAAATTTACGACAAAAAATTCCTAATTTAGCATCCGTATTTTCGTATAATATAGCGCAATTTGACCTGCATAAAGCGGTGGACTGCACGGCAGAATATTGAATGGGCCCCTTTAAATTAATATACTTACTCAGTGAATACCGCCGCCGATGGACATCTGCTACTCTTGAATGTTAGATGTGGCTCATGGGATCGCTCTCAAACCAAAAAGACACTTAAGGACTGATAAGAAAACTATTTATTTGAACTTAAACATTTTGAACTTATTTTAGACGAAACGTAATGATTATGAAATTTATATAAAATACAGGAGCTATGCCAGATAGCTAGACATGTTACTACTCCAAACGATTTTTACGGAATCGATCAAATATGACACACCCCCTTAATCTCAGATATACATCATAACACCAGACAAGTATAGAAAACCCAAAAAATTTAGAAATTATCAACAAACAAACCATGAAACAACAATAACACACTCGACAAAAACCAAAACTCTTAATAATAACTAAAATCACAAAAATACAAGAAAAACACAATACATTATAAAGGAATATCAAAAATTCTGTAAAAAGTTTCTCTGAAAAATTCCGTTTTGAATTCCGATCCTTTCCCTTACAACAATCTCACACACACGCTTCCACTGCGCGAATCTCAATTATTAACACCCCCTTACACTAGCACTACCTACACTAAAAGGTTTAGAATTAAATACCTAAAAATTTTAATAACGTCTATCAAGACATTAACCCCAATGTGTCACATCAAAGCAGGTTGTTTTAGATCGTAAAGACTTCAACCCACAAATCTTCCCCTTCAGCCTTTTCACCAACCAACTTTTTCACCAACCAACTCCCACGCGCCATTCCTCACAGCCATCAACTATCGCTCCGTCTCACCAGAGCCAACCGTCTCCCCAAACGTAAAAGTACACACAGCCAAAAAATCCACAACAATCCTTATACCTCTCAGGTAAAGACCTATTTATCGGTGGATCCCTCCCTGGACCCACAAACTCCGCAACAACCTCCGTCTTCCCGTCCATAAAGACCTATTTCTCGGTGCATCCCTCCCTGGACTCACACCCTCCGCAACAACCTCCATCTCCTCTTCACAAAGACCTATTTCTCGGTGGATCCCTCCCTGGACTCACACCCTCCGCAACAACCTCCGTCTCCTCTTCACAAACACCTATTTCTCGGTGGATCCCTCCCTGGAATCACACCCTCCGCAACAACCTCCGTCTCCTCTTCACAAAAACCTATATCTCGGTGGATCCCTCCCTGGACTCACACCCTCCGCAACACCCTCCGTCTCCTCTTCACAAAGACCTATTTCTCGGTGGATCCCTCTCTGGACTCACACCCTCCGTCTCCTCATAAAAACCTATTTATCTCCACTCGCATCCAAAAAACCATCAAAAACTCCTTTATTCTCTACAACTTCTTCATCCTGATTATGAACAAAATTCACGCTCCTCAAATCTTCAACTGTTTCCTCACAAACTACTTCATTTGTTTCTGTACTCTTCATTTTCCACACCGTCAATTGTTACTTCTTGAATTGTTCCTTCTTCAATTGTTTCTTCTTCATCACCCATGCCTCCATTTTATTCATGGATAATAATTCCTCACTCGTGATCGCAGTCTGTTCATTATTTTTTCAAAATATATTCAAAACCTGCAGCAGTTATTTTCAAATAATATTTTGTTTCCAGTCTTGAATGATAGTATCTTTTTCTAATAATGGTTTGATGGGCTTGTCCATCTATGAAAATTTCTTTGCAGCTGAATTCACGCTCCTCACATATGCAACTGTTTCCTCACAAACTACTTCATTTGTTTCTGTACTCTTCATTTTCCACACCGTCAATTGTTACTTCTTGAATTGTTCCTTCTTCAATTGTTTCTTCTTCATCACCCATATCGCTCCGGTTTAACGGAGCGATGGTGCTTAAAAACTGGAAAAACTCCAACAATATAGATGTTTCTGGGCCCATAACCTCTTGAACGGTAGATGTGGCTCATGGGATCGCTCTCAAACCAAAAAGACACTTAAGGACTGATAAGAAAACTATTTATTTGAACTTAAACATTTTGAACTTATTTTAGACCAAACGTAATGATTATGAAATTTATATAAAATACAGGATGCCAGATAGCTAGACATGTTACTACTCTAAACGATTTTTACGGAATCGATCAAATATGACACAATTCAGTCTGAACAAATAAAACTAACATTCCAAATTTAATTTAAAGTAATTCAAACATAATACATAAACCAAACAGGTCAGAGTTGACATCAATAGAGTATGTATAATCTGAGATTACCAATCAACAGCTACACCCGAGGGTTTCATACGCGTTGACAACCTTTTGAAAATTGGGCTTCGGCCACCTCACTCACCCAAGTACGGATCCAGCTTTGGTGCCAGGGGCGGGTCACATAGTCGTGGTCAAGTGATAAGAAGTTTTAATTTAATTTTTATAATCATAGATACAAGTAAAAAGTAGGTATTTTTAACCGACTTCAAAAAGAAGGAGGTTATCAAATCGGATTTTTACATTTCTTTATGTATATTCGGGCATAACTTCGTCGTATATAGACGGATTTGCAAAATTCTTTTTTTGTTCGAAAGGGTTATTTCGAAATTGTCCCATATAAATTTCATATAGATCTGATGATAATTTTCGGAGATAGCAACGGAACTCCTCGAAATCTGACAGTAAATCAACCGTGTTTGCTTCTATCGCATAAATATGCATTGTTTTGCATGTAGCGTTGTAATACTTACGTACATAATTTTATTTTAAGTCGATTCTTTTTTTGTTAAAAAACTATTTACATTGGTATTATACAAGTTATTATTTAACATTCAGATGTTAAGTAAAGTTCGCGGACCTTGCGAGCCTCAACTTCGTGAGGCCTTGCTGGGTCGTCGTATGTCTTCAGGTAAGGAGTTCCAAAGTAGTGCAGCCTGAACGGCGGAAGAATCGCCGATGAAACTAGTATTATGTGGAGGAATAGAAATATTGAGGTTAAATGAAGAACGGAGGTTACTTTTATTGTTTAGAGAGTAAATCAACCGTTTATATCGATGACCTGTTCATATCTGGTAAAAGTGCGAGGTAATATCTGGAGAGATTTGAGGACATAATAAACAAATTGGAAATGTTGACTTGACAATGAGTATTTAAGGGAAAGCTTGAAAGTGGCGCCAGTGATTGAGAAAATAAGGAGTGGTAGGATGACATGGTACAGGCACATGTGCGAAGGGATGAAAGTCATGTTACTATAAGAGTAATGAAAATAAATGTGATTGGCGGGTGCACAGCTAGAGCAACACCAAGAAATATTTGGATGGACTGTGTGAAGAATGATATGTCTGTGAAAGGGGTCAGTATTGCGATGACGGCTGATAGAGGAAAGTGGAAGGAAAGGACATGTGGTGCCGGCTCCGGACAGGAGAAAGAAGAAGAATGAATTTGTCCGAATGCGGCTTACTGAAAACAAAATATTTGATACCAGGAATGCGCTGCAAGCGATAGACTAGGTGTAGCTAAGATACAAAGTGTTTCCATTATCCGTTAACGTTCATGGTGTGTGACAGTTTCAATGTTCAGTTCAATGTTTTTATTTTATTTTTATTTAATCTTTATTGCCAACCTTCAGTAAAACAAGGTAACAAAGGGCGGACTTAATGCCCAAAGGCATTCTCTACCAGTCAACCCAGGATGTGGTGAGACATATATATATATACATAGATATATATATATATATATATATATATATATATATATATATATATATATATTATAAATATTATATAATATATATAAATATATATTCAAATATTTAAATATATATAAAGATGTATACTTGTATAATTAGCTTCTACTTTTAACTACAGTCCATATCTTAGGTCGAATTTGTCTTTAACAGGTGTTCACGAACCAATATTTTGAAAGATGTCTTACTTTTTGCGTTTCTTACGTTATTGGGCAAGGAGTTCCAAAGATGTATAGCTTGGATAGTAAAGGAGTTGACAGAGAATCCGGTAAAGTGCGCTGGAATGCATAATTTATTCGTGTAAGACGACCGAAGTACCCTATCATGAGATGAGGAGAGATACAAGAATTTGTTTTTGAGGTAAGAAGGGGAGGAACAATCATTTAAAATGGAGAAAAGCACAAGCAAAATTCTGGACTGCCGCCTATGCCGAATAGTAAGCCAATTAAGTTGTAGGAGGATATGTGGTCATACTTGCGTAAGCCGAAAATGAACCTGATACAGTTATTAAGGAGGCGATCCAACTTGTTTTGTAGATGTTGGGATACGTCCGGGTAACACACGTCTGCATAATCGATAATGGGTAAAATGAGCGTTTGGACAAGCAAAAGTTTAGTTTTGAAAGAGAGGAAATGTCTTAAGCGATAGAGAGATCGTAAGGTGGCAGTAACTTTGCGGCTTATTTCGGTAACGTATACACTCCAATTCAAAGTATTGTCAATAAGCATACCTAGATTTTTTACCACGTTTGAAAAAGGAATTATTATTGCAAACCGTCTGGGAGGTACCTTAATATATTATAAACGGTCCTTGCACTGTAGCCCGCTCGATATTCCAGAGCTAAGACATATAGAGGCATCCGCGTGTAGGTTAGCGCTCACCGGCCACAGGGAATAAAACGGGGAATAAAACTCTTCTACAAAGCGATTTAGAAACGCTACTTAACTTAGGCCCTTCCGTGATAATTGCAGGAGATCTAAACTGCAAACACGGCTCATGGGACCCCCAAACTTACGCTAACAACAACGGTAGGCAGCTCTTTAACTTATCTGACGATTTAAATTACAGCATAATCGCTCCTGTGACTCCCACAAGATATCCTACGGTGGACGATTACCAGCATTCGACACCGAGTATTCTTGATATCATGTTGTTCAAGGAGGTCTCCCTCGACATCGCGTCGATAGAGACAATCCAAGAATTAGAATCAGACCACAGGCCGGTCCTGTGTAAACTGGGCCAGAACGCCGGCGCGGTCCCTCCGACCAAAACCGTAGTGGACTGGCATCGCCTTGAGGTCAAACTCAAGGCCTTGGACCCCCAGCACATCGCCAACCTACCCGAGACGATAGCTACGTTCGATGACGCAAATCGAGCGATAGCAAGTCTTCGCGCATCTATCACTTCCGCAGTTGCAGATTCGGAACGAACAGTGAAACTGTCGGGCGACCAACGGTTTAACTTTCCATCCGACCTAAGACTGCTAATTAGACAAAAAAATGCAGCCAAACGAGCTTTCAACCGATACCGATCAGAATCGAACCGAACCCTACTTCGACGCCTTCAGCTAGAAGTTAAAGATCGCGTATCGGAACACCGACATACCGAGTGGGATACTCTACTAGAGGATATCGAGCCATCGCACACCGCCTACTGGCGGTTGGCCCGCAGTCTGAAAGCAGAGCCCCGCGAATCCCTACCGTCGTTAGCAATGCCTAATAGCACTTCATTAGCCCTAGATGACTCCGAAAAAGCCGAATGCCTTGCGGACAACCTAGAGCAGCAATGTACGCCATCACGCGAACACATCGACACAGCCCACCTAACGGAGGTGGACCGCGTTATCGAAACTAGGGCTGCGCTTCCACCGGAAGGCGATCCATTAAACTCAGTGACCCCCGAAGAGGTCCACGATATTATCAAAAATTTAAAACCCAAATCCGCCCCGGGCCCAGACAATATTAGTAATAAAATCCTTAAAGCTCTCCCTGGCCCACTTATCTGTTTACTGGCGACCATTTACAACACTTTTCTCTCCAGTTGTTCCTTTCCGGACGACTGGAAAGAAGCCACGGTTATCGGCATTCGCAAGCCGACTAAACCAGCCAATCAGCCCTCTAGTTATCGGCCCATCAGCCTCCTCAGTTGCCTGGGGAAGCTTTACGAGCGGCTTCTATTAAACAGGCGCAAAGACCACGTGTTTTCCAATGGCCTTCTGCCGGCGGAACAATTCGGCTTTCGAGCAAGACATTCCTGTCCCGATCAATTATACCGCCTAACGGAACATATCCTAAAAGGCCTAAATCACCCTAAACATATTAGCACGGGGGCTCTTTTCTTCGATGTCGCAAAGGCATTCGACAAAGTCTGGCACAACGGCTTGATTTACAAGCTGTTCTCACTCAAAGTGCCAGACAGGCTCGTACACAACATTCAGGCCTTCTTGTCGAACCGTTCCTTTCGATATCGAGTTGAAGCTGCCCTCTCCACAAGCCGCCGCCTCACGGCTGGCGTTCCACAAGGCTCCTGCCTCTCACCCTTACTTTTTACGCTCTACACGAGCGATATACCAAAAGACCCCCACGTCAATCTCGCGCTTTTCGCGGATGACGCGGCGCTCTTTTATTAGCTTACCTTAGCCAACTAACCACTCGACTCCAAAGCGCCGCCAACCGCCTCGGCGATTGGTTCCGCAAATGGAGAATTGAAGTAAATCCCGAAAAGAGTGTGGCGATTCACTTCACACGAAGTACTTACCCGTCACATCTTTATAAAGGTCGTCGCCAATGCAGAAAGCTAGGGCAAATATCTCTTTATGGCTAACCGCTCCCCTGGGAGAAAAAGGTAAAATATTTAGGAGTCACTTTCGACTCGCGTATGTCATTCACAGCGCATATTAATAACGTCCGTAACAGAGCCGCGTTCGTCTCCGGCCGGCTAAGCACTTTAACTAACCAGTCAAGTAAAATGTCCTTAAGACACAAATTACTTTTATACAAAGCTTGCGTACGGCCAATCATGTCCTACGCATGCATGATTTTCGCCCACACGCACCCTACTCGCTTGCACAAGTTGCAAGTAGTGCAAAATAAGTTCATCCGCCGCGCAACCGGTGCGCAGTGGTATCAACGCAACGTCGACCTGCACAGTGATTGCAGACTCCCGATGATTCGCGAATTTTTCAAAGACCTGACCAAACGGTTCTTCGATAGAGCCGAACATCATCCCAACCCTCTGGTGGTAAGCGCAGCAAATTACGCGAGCGTCAACAAGCGTCGCCCGCGAAACGTCCTCATCGACCCGGTCGAGGAAGGGGACTTAGGTACGTCGGACCCACCGTCGGGGGTCCCGCTGGATAACACTAGACACACAGTTAGTGTAGCAACAAACACATTAGTTCGCCCTCGCCTCCGAGCACGGCGAGACCAACACAACGCGTACACAAGGTACACTCGCGTTCCAGGGCGGTTCTCACCGCCCCCAGCCACCGATTAGCTAAAAACACAGTCGACGGCCATCGGGGTCCCGGTCCGCACCGCTACTTCGATGGCCCTTAGATGACATGCCGTAGTTAAACGCACGCATGAGCACATGCGCGGCCCTACCCACAGCGGAGGGCCCAAACTCGTGGGTTCGGGCTAGCCCACCGGTTCTGCGTGAGATGAAGCTTTAATAGTCACTTGACTGAAAGCACAAACATCAGTTAATACAAGATACAAGACTTAATAGTCCGCGCAATAAAACCGCGCTCTGCCGCGTCGTTACTTAGAACCATAAAAAACCGTCTGGGAGGCACTCCAATTTATTATTTATTTCTCTTGGGGAACAAAACCTTATTACTTCATCGTCGTTAAGTTTTGGTCTACGGAGCTTTTTCTTTAATTTTGGAAATAAATAAAAATCCCTATCTGCTAGGTCTGGACTGTAGGGTACGTGTTGCAATTGTTCGAAGTCGCATCGATGAATAGGATCGAAACTCGACTGGTGTGCACGGGTGCGTTGTCGTGCAAAAGGAGCACGTCCTTTTTCCTCATCTTTTTTCCTTGATGGCCTATTATAGTGACACCTTCTTCTTAATTGCCAAAGTAGTAAGCAGATAAGTAAGATATCTTTTGAATCCCAAAAGTTCGTCGCCATGATGAAAATAATGTAATTCAATATGTTGTTTATTTTATTTTAAGTAATGAAAACAGAGACGGATAGAAGATGGGCAGCGGAGTCTTAGCAATAGGTTTAGTTGTTTAGCATTGATGTTTTATATACCCTTTGGATGCGGAACCTTAAAAAGCTAAAACGTCAGTGTCAACTATCAAAAAAGTATTTGACATAACATGCGAAGTTTGAAGAATAATGATTAAAAATCGCTTCTGTCTCGGCAACAAACGTAGTGGTTATATTCTCTTTGCTCTCGGCCTTTTGGCTAAGATCAAAGTGTAAAATAATGATAAAAAATATTTTTGTGCTATGTGGATGTTAACAGAAATCACTTGTTTTTTTAAATAACTTATTTGAAGAATGAGTTTTTACTTAAGACCTTACAATGAGTATACTTTAACATGAAAGTTTTAAAATGGCTTTACATATTATGCGGAAATTCTTCTATAAATATGCTAAGTTGTTAGGAGTAACAGTTTTAACTACGTTTTTTATACAAATTATAATTTCCATAAGTTTATTTCCGTCGGTTAATGATAATTTACTTAAGAAATTCAGTCATACAACATTACGAAATCGTGAACTGGAAGAAGTTTCAGCGAGAAAAATAAACAATGGATACGCTGACGATGAAGATTTTGTACCGAAAACTCTGTTGCAGAATAAAATTATACCTATTTTAAGAATAGAAGAATTAGATTTTTTACCCATGTGTGAAATTAAAAGTCGAGAGGCTATATCTGCTATACATCGTGCTAAAACTCAGAGTTGTAAAAGAGAAATTGTAAACAAAACGTGCCTTATTCAAAATGGTAATTTTTATCCGAATAAATTGCCTAACTTCTGTCCCTCCAATGGTTTGAGCTATGGTAAATATTTGGGATGCTTTTTGGATGAAAAAAAATTAAGAATACTCTCCAGTTTTTATGGTAATTATGCTGCAACCAATACCCCTGAATTTTGCTTGGATATATGTGTTCAAGCTGGTTTTCCTTTTGCTGGTGTACAATATGCGTAAGTAAATTTAATGTTTTTCTGACGAAGTTATGTTTCTATGACAATTAATAGACCTTTCTGTTACCCCATAATCAAACATTAAATTATTTTTTAATTTGAGTGATTCCTTATACTGATTGATTGTTTTATTTTTTATAGAAATGTAAGTTACTTTTTGCTGTTTTACTTTGATTGTGAATCGAATGCCTTAGTAAACTTTACCAAGTAATAATATTGAATTACCATAACTTTAAAAGTAAAGTTTTAGATATTTTACAACACAGTATACTGATAAATTGAAATTGTAATTATTTTGTTTATTCTAACTGAAAAAAAAATGTTTTAGCACTGAATGCTTTTGTGGGGATGCTCCACCCCCATTGTCTGCTAAAACAGCTGAAGCATCATGTGATATGAAATGCCCTGGAAATTCCTCTAAGATCTGTGGAGGATACTTTACCATGAATATTTATGAAACTGGATTAACAAGTATGTGTTACATCTTTATATGTATAGCCTTGGGGGTTGGTCTTAAACCTCACCAATTTATCCCCAAGGGGAAGGAGGGAGGTTAAAAACTGCTAAAAAATATCATGTGATTAATTAGTGGACGGCCCCTTAGCTTAATTTAATACAATTAATGTACATATTTGAAATTCCTTGACTTTCAAGGAAAATAATTTTCTTTCAAGGAAATGTGGAAATGTATGTTTAATTTATTTACAAAGAATATAACTAGACAATACTTTGTATTTATTGTATCCATATGTAAATATTCAGTAATTTTCATTAATCTTAAAACATTTTACAGAGTTTATTGCAGTATCACCAAAGATATCTAATACGCAAAGAGAATCTATTCGAATTGTTTTCCTTTTGACATTAAATGGAAGAGCATTAAGACAGGTTCATAGATTAATCAATGTACTCTACAGAAGTCATCACTACTTTTATATACATGTGGATAAAGTGAGTTACAATATTTTCATATATTTTGTTATTTTGTTATCACAGATTTCTTTTAAGTTATTTTAAAGGAATCTGTGATTTTGAGCCTGAAATATTTTTTTTGGAATTGTGGGTAGTCCAGTATTTTAAATTAAGAATATTTAGTATTTTTGTATATTATGTAACTAACTCTTTTAATAATTTGTTTTCTTTAAATAAATTTCCTACTCAAAGTTGTAGTTATGGGGTTCATGTATGTTTTATTTTGGATGCAGAATTTAATTTAACAATTGTTACAACTACTCCACATGTCCATCCATGGTATTCTCTCTTCCTGTTTAATATGCCCTTCTCAGAAAAAAATTTCGAGCAAACTTCTAGCCTACATAAGTATTGGAGTTTTCTTAGTTTCCAAGCCATTGTAAATTCTAATTGCCTGGAACCACGGGTACTTACTACTAGCCATACAGCAAGTCAAGGCTCTGCCGTATATATCTCTAATCGAATTCAGCCCCAAATTCGTACAATTATTTGGAGATATTTGAGGAGGATTTTTAACAGATTCATTACCATCATTATACCCCATAAAGAACAACAATTCAAGCAGTTCAAAAATATCTAGTGAACAGACACTAAAAAGACCGAAAGCAATATAGTTCAGCCTGCACAGTGATGGTATCAGTTTTTTTGGGGTACTAAGGATGTCATCATGGTAGAACTCTCAAAACGCGAGACACCTTTGAAGTTATTTCTATTAAATTATGGAGAAAGGTCTGGGTTTTTCTTAGAAAGTGTTATAGAATTTAAATTTTTGTAGTAATAATCTCTACAGTTAAGATGAAACATTGAAATTAGTAGAAAAACGAAAAGTTTTAGCTGCTGTGGAGTCGACACTACGATTTCTGGAATCGCGCCTAGACTTGTTTTAAACCACTAACCTAAACGGCTAATTGCTGCACCAACCAAAATCTTAACCTATCTTATCTATCATTTTATCAGAGCGGCTTACATATGAAACTAGTGGACGGCGAGAGGTATATAGTAGAGATAAAGAGACTCAAAACCAAAAATATATTGTTCATGTTCATAATGGTTATGTTCACATCATTTATTTTCTTGACTAGGCTGCGAATTTTGCAACACCTATATAGACAGAAATTTTCATAGTTCCGATTGTAGCTGTGCAAAGGACAAATATTCTCTATATCCCAATAATCTACCTCAACGAAAGCTCGAGATATTACCCAATCTTCCAAGTTGGTTTGATTTGCAAGTTCGAATAGACCCCTTACACATGATGGGCTTTAAGTTAATAATTAAATTACATGGGGTATTTCCTTCATGACTAGTTTTAGCAGAATTTTAATTCTATGATAAGGTTTTTCGGATAAAAGTATTCCGTAATACCGATGTTTAAATGTGACTTGCGTCGTAAACAACATTTTTATTTCAGAGACAAGATTACATGCATCGAAAGTTAACTGTTTTGGAAAAACAATTTCCGAACGTTCGTTTAGCGCGAAATCGCTACGCAACAATTTGGGGAGGCGCTTCGTTATTAAAAATGCTTCTTTCCTCGATGAGAGATTTCATTTCATTAGAATGGCAATGGGATTATGTCATAAATTTAAGTGAAAGTGATTTCCCCATTAAACCTCTAGAAGATTTGGAAATGTTTTTGTCAGCAAATAAAGGATTAAACTTTGTTAAATCACATGGGCGTGAAGTTCAAAGATTTATAAAAAAACAAGGCTTGGACAAAACTTTTATTGAATGTGAAACCCACATGTGGCGTGTGGGAGAAAGAAAATTACCACAAGGAATTGTTATTGATGGTGGCAGTGATTGGATAGCTCTTTCACCTGACTTTGTGTCATATGTGGTCGAAAAACAAGATGAATTATTAATCGGATTGGATGTTATTTTTCAACATACGTTATTGCCAGCGGAATCATTTTTCCATACCGTTTTAAGAAACTCCGTATTTTGTGATACGTATGTCGATAACAATCTCCATGTCACAAATTGGAAAAGAAAATTGGGTTGCAAGTGTCAATACAAGCACGTGGTAGATTGGTGTGGTTGCTCACCAAACGATTTTAGAACTGAAGATTGGCCAAGAATACAAAACACACTTAATCGTCAATTATTTTTCGCTCGAAAATTTGAGCCTATCATTAATCAAGAGGTAATAGCGAGAGTGGAACAACTAATAGGTTTTGATGATCAACATCTGATCAATAACATTCAAGCATATTGGCAAAATATTTATGACATTGAAGATTCACCGACTAGTTCTGACGACATATTATTAACACATGCTGGAAGTATATTACGTCAAACTGCTAAACTTCTACTTCAAAATGATTGTAAAGTAGAACTTGGTGAAGTTCTTGAAATTAATTTGTATAAATATGCAGATATTTATAAAGGCAACTTAATTTTATATAAAGCGTTAATTCAAGATAGAGATGAAGTTTTAATAGAGACATGGTATAAACCAAAACAACATTTAGAATTTAATTTTCACAGTAAATTGAGCGATTTTGTAAAAATATTTAAGGTAAGTTCGGATTATGACCAGAAGGAAATGACTTTTAGAAATTTAGCGGCCGTTCTCGGACCATTATCTGAACCAATTTTAGTTTACCAGTTTTCCCCTGACGTCGACAAACTTAATGCGAACTTTACTGTGATTTGGTTAGATCCGGCAGGTAAAATAGTTGATATAAATTTTATATATAAAGAAGATAATAATTTAACATCCTTTATCAAAATAAATGCAAAGACACCACTTCTGCCAGGTATTTGGAAAGTGGGATTATTAGATCAAAATAATATTATAATAGCTGTTACAAAATTCCTAGTGAGTCCATTAGAGTATTTTTCTGGAAAAGAAATGTCCCATCAAGAAACCAGCTTAATTCATAGTGGTTCAATCAGTTCATACAAAAATTTTTCGAACATAAAAAGCATTGGTATTATACCCGAGGCAAAAGACCAGTTGTTATTGCAGGAACTTGCAGAGTCAAATGTTAAAAGAATAGGTCATGATTTAAGAGAATGGATTGATAGTTTAAGTATAGTATTTTATGATGTGTTAGGTTCTTGTATTAGTGTTAATAATGATAGTTTAAAAGTTAAACATATTTGTGGACAATATAAATTTTCCCATTGTCTTTCCACTGAATGGAGTTCTTTATCTCCAGATCCAAAAGGAGAGATTGGTAAATTGAACAAAAGAACTGGGCGATTAGAAAGAATATGAAAAGAAGAGCAGTTTAATGAAATAAATAGTTTAACCAGAATCCCTTATTTGTTTACAGTCAAATATTTATTTTTAAATATTAAAAATATTTCTGTAAATGAAATATCGCGCTGATATGATAAGTATGGTATAGTATATACCTTATCAATGAACAAGAAATTAAAATAATTTATTCAAAGCAAATCTAGTACAATTACGATTTTGAAATTTATTTTTCAAATTAAGCTTAATTTTTTGGATGAACTCTATCGTGAGCTGATTGAAAAGACGCACAGATGAACAACTACAGATGTAAAACTTTTACATAACAATAAAAATGTATACAAAAAAAGAATTTTATTATGATGAAGCACTGAAAAACAATATTCATAAGGTAATTTGTATCTGGCCGATTTTAGCCTTTCCTTAGTTGAGTGTAAAAATTAAAAATATTTTCCAAGAATATACAGTTTAAGGGGGTTTATAAATTTTAAAGGAGGTAGATATTTATTTTCCTTTTTTTCCATTTGTCTTAATGAGCAAGAATTTTAATATCTTAATAATGGATGGGTCTTTAATTACAAGAATTAACATAACTTCCGATGCACTGCACATCGTACAAGGGGCGGGTGTGCTCTACTATCACTTAACCACTTCGTTTATATTAAGTTGGTTTTATCGTTTATTTTACAGAATATATTAATACAAACGGGGAGTATTAAAAAAATATATATTCTCTTCGTTGTTATTCATGCAGATTAGAATAACCTTCAAGGCCAGGGTATACTTAGAAAATTCCAATTAAAGGTCTTTTGCTAGCCCCATTACTAAAATAATAACGTGAAGTAAAATTAGCATATAATCGAGAAGACAGAACATTGCCCTTGTATAAGTGAGGCACGTAATATGAATACTATTCGGTTTTAATAATAAGAATTATTATTATAACCCAAAAGATAATCTCAACTTTATTGGCTTAACTTTACGCATGCCCAGTTTGGGCACGCTCTGCTCATGCCAAAGAGGTCGATGTTGCCCTAAATGCCGCGTGTCGGGTGGTTACCGGAACTCTGAAACCGACTCCTTTGCACGAACTGTATAGCCTGGCTGGTATAGCTCCGCCAAGTGTTCGTCGAGAAGTAGCTTGCAGTGTGGAGAGGCATAAATAGAAGTATGATAGCAGGCATCCACTTCACAGCCAGACTCCACCACCAAGTTTGCCTCCTGTTGAGAGGCTCCTCCCGGGTGGTGATCTTCCCTGGGCTGTTTGGAAGTCCCTAAACAGACTTCGATCTGGTGTAGGAAGATGCCAGGATAACCTGGTGAAGTGGGGTTTCTCCAACGACAATAAATGTCACTGTGGCGAGGTCCAAACTATGGCCCACCTGCTGCAATGCCCGTTGTGTCACTCCTCCTGCACCCACGAAGACCTGCTTGAAGCCAACTCTGCTGCGGTGTATGTGGCCAAATACTGGTCGAACAAGTTCTAACTACCTATTTTGACTCGAAAAGAAGAAGAAGATTTGCTTAGATACACCATGTTTAACCAAATAACATTGATCTTATTTCACATATTATGTGCAATATATTAAATACAGAAATAAAGTTCTATCATGTTAAGCCAAATATAGTCAAATGTTATCTTTGATTATACGCTATTCGGTGAGAGTTCGAACAGTTTGCTGTTTACAAGTGGACACTTTTTCGACTAATCCCCCATACGAGATGGTCCTCCTTACTTCAACCCTCCATACAAGGAAGGCAATACCGCCAAAATGAAATGTTAACGTAGCTTGAGACCAGCTTAATTCATTCAGAGATAAATTTAGATTTTTTATTCTGTATTAAGATGAAAATCAATTTCTTTAAAAAACGTCACCGTATTTCTAAAATGAACCTGAGTGAAGAAGCTGCATAAGTGCTTAGTCACGCCCGCCAGCGCTCAGGAATGCAAACTTAAGAATTTTCTTGCTAAATTTAGGAAGAAAATTCATTGTACATTGGAAGTTTTCAGAAGGTAAATTTTTTGGGAATATTTTCAGGAGTAAAATTTTATTTATATCTTTGAAAAAAAAAAACTACCCAAGACTACTTATTTGAACAAAAATGTTTATTTAAAAGTGTTAGTTGCATTGGTGGACGTCACACCAAGGCCTATGTGGTAATATTTTAAGTTCTTTCGCCCTAAACTTTAAAAGTGAATATTTTATGTCTTAGTCAAGATGTAAAAACATTGTAGCTGAGGATTAAAATATATTAAAATCATTAGTAACCAATGTTATTCACATATAAAGCATATTCTTTATATTTTATTAAGCAATATAAAATGCAAAAGGATGATAAAACTGTCGTCGGATATGTTTACAATATAAGTAAATAATTAATTAAGTAAATAGTTAAATTTTTTAAAATATTTTATTGATTTTATTGTTAACATATTCATTTCTAAAGTAATATAAAAAAATGAAATATATTTAGTTTCCTTGTATGTATTAAAATAGTTAATTTAATCAAATAATTATTTTACCTCGATAATAATTTTATTTTAAGTTTTTTTAATTTGATAAATTTTAGTTTATTGTTTTAGAGTATTTTTTTAACAGTTGGTACAGTTGGTAACACTGCCTGCTACACGTGTTGTCAAATCGGTGATAGGCGCAACCAAAGAGTACAATAAAATAGAGTTATCAGTATTCTCGTGGGACATCGCCATCTCTTGATACTTTACTGAACTACAGTTCACCTGTATACAGCTACACTTTTAGCTCAAAAGTCATAAAGTTACGAAGTACGATCGACGATCTTATACTCACGGGTTAATAAGTGTAAGGTCTTTGTTTTTAAGGAAGGGGACTTAGACACACCGGACCCACTGCCGGGGGTCCCGCCGGACAACACTACACCCACAGTTAGTGCAACAACAAACACACTAGTTCGCCCTCGCCTCCGAGCACGGCGAGACCAACACAACGCGTACACACAAGGTACCGCCCCCCGCGTTCCAGGGCGGTTCTCACCGCCCCCAGCCACCGATTAGCTAATTGCACAGTCGACGGCCATCGGGGTTTCGGTCCGAACCACGACCTCGATGGCCCTTAGATGACACACCATAGTTAAACGCACGCATGAGCACATGCGTGGCCCTATTATATATTCTTATTTATTATTTTTTTATGTCAGAAGTTATCAAAGGAACTGGTGACTGATGGTGGACTGCGGTTGACTGACTTTACATCATCAGATGATGATGTAAACTGCCGCCCAAAGAGTACTTTATTAATATAGTCATCAGTCTCCTCGTAAGACAGCGCCATCTCTTGATGCGGGACCAAACTATAAGTTCAGATGTATATAACTTAGGACTAATTTACCATTTTGTTTTTACAGTTGAGAGCTGTATTCAACCATAGTTTTCTATATAGTGTATATGAAATTTATTTAATTTATATTTGATAACATTGTATAGAAAACTGTAATTGGATACAAGCTTGCTAGTAGATGTTATTTTTGGATAAAGTAAATAAAATACAGAAATATGTTTTGCAAACTTTATTTCGTTTTTTATAATATTCACTCGCTATTTTTTTTTATAATCTTTGTTATGAATGATTTCGAGTCTGGTGCCGTTTAGTAAATTATTTACATTAAATTATTTTGGCTATCCTAAATCAGTAAATTTCCTCCAATCGATTGAATCTATGTTTTAAATCTCTCACTATCATTTTCAGGTGAGCAAAAGAATGTAAATTTGCGTTGCAGTCTTTACCTGTAAATACAATATTAATGTTTTGCCGTAACGTATAACAAAAAAAAATTATGAATAATGAAAGATAACCGAATAAAATAAATGAATGATAACCGGCCGCAGTTACAGTATTACCAACTTTTGAAAAATAACACCTAAAGAAATTCAAAAACCTCCTAAAATCCACTGTTTTCAAAAAAAACTTCCTAAATGAAAAAAGTTACTTTTTTTTTAAATTATCTAACAAGCTACAATAATTATCGGAAAATTTAATTATCTGGGTAATCAAAACTGTTTTATTTAAAAACTAGCTGCTGCCCGCGACTACGTCTGCGTAGAGGGGTGAAAATTTTGGGTTGTATGTATTTTTGTATGCTGTGTTATAAAAAAATAGAAACAAAAAGTTTTATATAAAAAATAAAAAAACAATTTAGGGATGGACTACCCCCTTAACATTTAGGGGGACGAAAAATAGATAGTAGCCGATTCTCAGACCTACTGAATACGCATATAAAATTTGGTAAAAATCGGTCCAGCCGTTTCGGAGGAGTTCAAGTTCGAACCCCGTGACACGAGAATTTTATATATTAGAAGAAGATTAACTTAATTAATATACTTGACCTTGAACATTGTTCATTGACTTGAAAAATATTTATACAAATTAAATACATTTTATTGTCACGTTATAATCATATTCATTATTTTTAAGAATCAGACAATAAATCATGGGAATAAGTATCATTCAATTATAAAAGATCTGAATGAAACATACCTACCTTTAAATTCATTGTCTTTTTTCCACTTAGCTGCATATTTTTGAACATATCCGATGGCAATTTTTACACATTTGGCATTTTATATTACTAAATGAATTTAATTTAAAATGAATTTAATATTATGAGTAGCCGTATATTCACAATAAGAGTTTATGGCGGAACAATTTAAAATACTACATTAGCCAATGCTGCCAATACATTTATATTTTGTGTTTAATTGTGTACGTTTTTTTTAAGAACGTGAATAAAATTTTCTTGTAAAAAATTCTATTGTAAATTTTTTAATAATTTTTGTGTAATAAAATACATTTTTTTCCAAAATAAGAACCATACATAATTTTTTTTTATAAATTTATTTTAACAAAATAAAATTTTGTTTTTCATTTAATGGTAGGTACCATAGTTAAAATGGTTTTGCATTTAAAACAACGCCATCTGTTTTTGACAGATGGAACTAAACGGAAT